ACTAGTTCGGAAACACAGCAGCCAATATCTTTCTTTATAGTAGCTCGTATACCAAGTAATACTAGTGGAAGTTTGGTTGACCAATCGTTTTGAGTCAAAGAAGCAGCGAGTGCAGCTTTGAGTTGTCGATGAAATCGTTCGACCATACCGTTGGAACTAGGATGATACGCTGTCGTTCGTATTCGTTTAATGCCTAGTAATTCAGTTAGTTGGTCAAACAGTCGGCTTTCAAACTGGGCACCTCTGTCTGTAGTGATAATTGATGGGACACCAAAGTTGGCTATCCAGTTTTCGACTAAAGCTTTAGCTACCGTTTCAGCTGAGACGTCGATTAATGGAACTGCTACTGGCCAACGAGTAAATCTGTCAATGCAGGTTAGAATATAGTTGAAACCATTGGAAGGAGGCAGTGGACCAACTATGTCTACATGTACATGGTCAAATCTAGAGTCGGGGTTAGGGAAGCGACCAAGTGGTGCTTTGGTGTGCCGGTTGATTTTGACTCTTTGACAAGACAAGCAATTTCGTGTCCACTTCTTAACGTCGCTGTTAATGTTTGGCCAGATAAATCTTTCTCTTAGTAGCTTGGTAGTAGCGCTAACACCAGGATGCGACAAGTTATGTAACTTCTCGAATACTGTATGTCTCATAGCTATTGGAACGAAAGGTCGATATTTACCTGTAGAGGTGTCGCAGATAACTTTTGTCGTGCCGAAAGGAATTGCCTCGAGGTTTAGAGATGTTGTTTTAGAAGACATGATCTTTTTGAGTTCGGCGTCATCTCGTTGTAAGTTTGAGAGATGTTCGTAGTCGATGTCTGGGCATACAATGTTATCAATGTGCATACGTGATAAAGCGTCTGCCACTTCATTGTTTTTACCCTTTATGTGTCGCAGATCGGAGGTGAACTGGGATATAAACTCGAGATGTCGTAGTTCACGTGGAGAGTAGTTATCCTGTTTTGCTGATAAGGCTTTCGTTAGAGCCTTGTGGTCTGTAAAGACAGTAAAAGGTGTACCTTCCAGCATATGTCGAAAGTGCTTGATTGCTAAATAAACAGCTAATAACTCTCTACCAAAGGTGCTATATCGACATTGAGTAGGATTCAGTCGTTTCGAAAAGAATGCAAGGGGTTGCCATTCGCCATGTACCTGCTGTTGTAACACTGCCCCAATGGCGACATCTGAAGCATCTGTCATGAGAGACAGGGGGCGTCATTCTGGCGTCTGACTAAGAGCGTCTTGTCGTTTAGTGATTGCTTTAACAGCTTCTGCAGGCAAATGGAATGAACGACTATGTCCACGTAAGCAGTCGGTCAACGGTTGCAAAACTCTAGCACAGTTCGGGATAAAACGCCGGTAAAAATTGACTAGACCCAAAAATCGCCGTAATTTCTTGAAAGAATCTGGTAATGGATAGTCTTTGATGGCTTGTACATCGTCGGGGACTGGTCTAATTCCTTGATTGTCAATCAAGTGACCGAGGAATTTCAGTGATTTCTTACCAAATTCGCATTTATCTAAATTGATAGTCATGCCGTATTTGTGAAGTCTTTCAAACACCGTCCTCACATGTTTCACATGCTCGGTTTCGTCTGCACTTGCAATTAGTAAGTCGTCAATGTATGCGTAGACGAAGGGCAGGCCGCGGAGTACTTGGTCGATGAGACGTTGAAATGTCTGAGCGGCGTTCATCAGCCCGAAAGGCATGCGCACGAATTCGTATAAGCCGAATGGCGTGGTGATAGCGGTTTTTGGAACGTCATCCGGGTGGATGGGAATATGATGGTACGCTCTGACAAGGTCGATTTTGGAGAAAATTTTAACCTCTGGCAAGTTGCTGGCGAAATCGTGAATATGCGGTATGGGGTATCGGTCAGGTACCGTTTGCTTGTTTAAAGCTCGATAATCCCCGCATGGCCGTATCTCACCAGAAGACTTTTTGGGTACCATGTGCAGCGGTGAAGACCAAGAGCTGTTGGATGGTCGAATAATGCCGAGCTCTAACATTTTATCGAACTCTGTTTTTGCGATTTTAAGTCGATGTGGGTCAAGGCGTCGAGGACGTGCAAAAACTGGTGGTCCAGTGGTTTTAATGTGATGAACCACTTGATGCTTTAGTTCTGTTGCTCGGAAAGAGGGTTGTAGAAGGTCAGGGAACTGATTTACTAAGTCAGTATATGGAGATGCTGGTGTGCGTGTGACCATCAAGTTCAGCGATGATGCACGGCTAATCGTACCAGCGATGTACCTTTTATTGAGCGAGTCTATAAGCTTAGGGCTAACCGGATCAACTAGCAGTTTGTGTTGCTGTAGAAAATCTATACCAAGGATTGGGGATGGAACGTCTGCGATGATGAAAGACCAAGTGTAGGTATTCTGCAGACCAAAATCTAAAGTCATTCGTTTACTACCATATGTAACAATATTAGACTTATTAACGGCTTGGAGCGTAACTGCAGGGTCAGGATGTTGACGTTCCTGCGTAGTCGGAGGGAGAACACTAACCTCTGCTCCTGTGTCGACTAAGAACGTAGTACCGGTATTTCTATCTGTTACATAAAACAAACGACTGCTAGATCGTAGATTGCCAACAGTAGAAGTTTTCATACATGACGATATATCTTTTGGTTTAGCCTGAAAGTTGCAAGGTGAACGACACCGTCGTGCATTGTCTCCGTAACTACGGTGGTACCAGCAAATAGTATCGTGATGTCGTGACGTGCTGGGTGATCGAGAAAGACGTCGACGAGACGAGCTTCTAGAACGGCTTGGTCGTGTGCGTGTGGTCAGTGCTGCTAACTGACTCAGTACGGTGTCGACTTTGTGTTCTAGAGCCTGTATCCTGTCGTCAGTGTCTGGCATTCTGCTAGTGGAAGCAACAGATTGAGGTGTTGACCTCTCATACATGCGATCTGCGATTTTGGCAAGCTTTTCCATGTCAATGTCGTCATCTCCGTAAGCAAGAACTTGTTGAATGTTTGCAGGAAGTCGTCGCAACCAAATTTGGTAAAAGAGACTTTTGTCGATATCTCTTCCTGCTACTAGGCTTTGCATGTGCCTCATGAGTTGTGATGGGGTTTTATCACCTAGCTCTACATTGCTTAACAAACGATCGAGTGCTTGCCTATCAGAAAGTGAAGTGCATCGAAGTACTTCTTCTTTCAACTTGTCGTAAGGAGCGTCTGTGCTGGGCTGAACGATGCATTGTCGAACCTGTTCGGCGATTTCGTCTGGTAGTACTGTACTCAATATGCCAAATTTAACCGTCTGTGACGTAAGCTTATTGGCAGTGAAATAATTTTCCAGTCGTGCAAACCAAAGATGGGGTCTTTGGGCCTAAAAACTGGTACAGTAAGAGAAATGGTACTAACAGATCCCAGCTCTAAGTTATCAGAGGTATCGGAAGACATGATACAATTCGTAGAAAAATGGTTTAACAGTAACAAAATAGCAAAAATTATGCACACCAAGAATATGGTAAAACAGAAAAACATGCAATGCAGATGCTTACCACAGATTACTGCAAGTTGTGCGATGAGAAAGCACAAGAATGAGCTCGAAATGTCTATTATATGTATATATATCCGATAAAGTTAGAGTTTAAATAATCCAGCAAGTGTAATGATGCGTCCGGGTGAACAAAATGTCGTTGGAGTCAACAAGTTATCGTCGCAGTGAACAAGTTATCGTCGAGGTGAAAAAGTTGTCGTCGCGATGGACAATTTGTCGACGGGGTGAACCAGTTATCGTCAAGGACACCAATTTGTCGTCGCTGTCGAAATATCACGTCGGGCTTACCAATTTTATTGCGTGCGTTGTCTGACTAAACTGCTGTACACATATATTCTATGTATTTCTTCGTTCTTATTGATGTGCGCAGACGTTGTGGCTACTAGACGCCCACAACGTAAATCAAAAGGCGCTTGCGAAGATTACAATGTGTATTGCAGTAGTAGTCAAATTCCTAATTGTGTCAAGGTAATGTTCAACAGTAAATTGACAAATGTTTGCGAAGTACATATAAAATCGGTCTGTATACACATATAATACAAGTATACAAATTAGATTAAAAAGCATGTTTACAGTTGGTATAGGGGCACTACAGTACTCCCTGGTTTTCAATGGTTCTCTAACTCATATCAATCCGTGATCAACTCGTAAAAACATAACTAACCCTTACAAACCAAACTATAGAAAATCTCACTATCGATAACAAAGTACTACATATAGATGATAGCAAAAATACAAACAGTGAGAACAAGCACGACAGAATATAGGTATGTTCAAAAATGTCCAAAAATGATCTGCTTACCGAAGGTATTTTCAACAAAAATGTCAGTTAATATATATAGTCAAATGTGAGGCAGTTATCAAAGTTAATACGACTGCAGTGATGATTAAATCCACTATATGTGTGTACTTCGAAATGCTGTCGTCGAACAGCTATGTCGGGCTCATCAATTGTTGTAGTGCTCTATTTGACTAAACTAGCGTAAACATATATCCTAGTACTTCTTCGCGTTTATTATTGTGTCCTAACGTTGTGTTTGCTCGACATCCACAATGTAAATCAGAAGGCACTTGAGAAGGAGTACGAACGTGTATTATCGCAGTAATTAAAATTCAAAAGTTGAGTGATTACAATGCATCAATTGTTGACACGCCATCTTTAGAGTGATATACAAATCCAAGTCCAATTACATAGTGAAAGTATACTACGATTATGAGTAATAAAATCGGTCACTATAGTATCATATTATTGGCTTTTTAATGACTGTTGTTTCCTTTCTAATGTCAAATTAACACACTGTGTATCTACTTAAGTTATCTTCACACATTTACATCTTAAGTTGGTTCTCAGGTTTTTTGTTTCAATTCGTTAGCAGCAGTGGACCTCTTTTAATATCTAGAGAAAAGACCAGAGATCTGACGTCTTCAAGATAACCTTTTCTACAGTATTAATACAAATAATGTCTTTGTTTCTTTTATTCTTATTAGGACGAATAAATCGAATTACTTTTCAATCCAATCAGCGTAATTTAGTTCAAGTGTATACAAATCTACCACCTGGTATTGACTCAAAAGTGACCGCCTATCTTATTCTTATAATTCGTTTGTTTCGTCCAACTTCATCGCATATTGGTTCACTTTGTTCAGAGGCCACAAACACCGCTTCAAATCATATTTATGTACAAGTTCGTTGGTGGGTGAACCAACCGGTGGAAAGTGTGCCATTTTTTATCCTCGATTAGCGCATAAAGCTGGACATAAACAAACAACATGCACTAAAGCTCGTTATAAAATCACTGTTCCTCTGGATAGATTTAGTGCTTATCTTAAAGGTATTATTTTGTATATAGTTAGGTACATTTAATGCCTGATAATTTCTTATATAATTTAAATGTTATTGTTTAAAATTCATCCTTTAATTTAGGTAGTCAAAAACATGAATGTTATGAATTTTTAAGTATTGGTTTTGTAGGGATTTTTGTTTGATTTCACGGAGGATTTCATCATGAGCTGACATCAATTAGAGAACCACTGGAAAACCACCAGAGAGTACTGGACAGCTGTTTCGCCCTAGTTTGGGACTCTTTGTCAGTACGCATCCACCACCATGGTTCGAACCCAGGACCTTCTGGTTACAAAGTTAGGGAGATCATAGACCATTGAGCCGCCAAAATCCCTACAAACCAACATTTGAAAACCAATGAGATGCTCACTGGCGACTGGCCCTATTAAGGTAGGTAGTTACCTGGGTTCCAGTGGGACGTCGTGACCAGTAGGGTGCAGCAGGTCGGGTGTGAGGACAAATACTCGCTGAAGACATTGGCTAGGGGTCGCGCTATGTCGTGAATTGGCAGAAGTTAGAATTCAAGGACCATTGGATTGGGTCCCAGTGGCTTAATGGTATACGAGCTCGCCTTGTAACCGGAAGGTCCTGGGTTGGAATCCGGTGGGTGCGTACTGCTGAAGAGTCCCAAACTAGGACGAAACAGCTATCCAGTACTCCCAGGTTTTCCAATGGCTCTCTAACTAATGTCAGCTCATGATGAAATCCTGAAATAATGAGAATATTACTAGTGAATAACTATACTACCCACCAGAATCTCTTCAGAAATGTATGATGACCCAAAGGAAAAATAAGATTAGTAATGAAGATTATGAGGATGACATAAATAATATGGGATTTAAAGCTTCTGTAGCACTGCTGTATAAAGAAGGAATGTCAGAGACTTTACGTAGAATTCTCGATTAGGCTGGAATCGGGTTGTCATTGAAACCAACCAACTCTTTCACAGATAAATTTTGTAGGCTTAAGGAATCAATAGATCCAATTAAGAAAAATGATGTATTTTACTAAATGCCATGTAATGACTGTTAGTAAGGTAAATTGCATAGGTCAAACTGAGGTGAGAGCAGGCTGCTAGCCAATTGGTAGACATTAATTTACGTCAATGTCTATGTCGCTAATATTGGCCGTGAGAATATATGAACAAGACTGATTCAACAACCAATCACAGCGGACTTAACGTGGGTAAATATGATTCGCAGATATGTGGCTTAACTTTCTGAGAAACCAGTCACAAATAGTACGGATTAACCTTGAGGAAGAAACAACCAATCAGAAGACTGTGTTTGTCTGCTTGAATAAGCTATAATAATGTACATGAAATATATATAAATACGTGCTGATTTCCGTAATAAACGATCTGTTGCCTGGCCCTTGTCTTCTGTTGTTACAAAACCAGAAGATTGAGGTTGATTGGGTTATCGAACATTTCGCTAGACGTAGAATGATTGACCCTGCTAAGTTAAGTCACCTAGAAAAAAGCTCGGTCATTGAAATGCATTCACTTGCATGTAACCACTAAATAGATTGGGACAGAGTGGAAGTATCAAAAATTCATGTAGTTAGGTGGAGGGAGAGAGGGTCTAATCACTGAATCTGTGTGTATCAATTCAGCATGGAACATGCGGATTTGGAATGACGCAACACTTTTCGGGATATGTGAAAAATTGCAACAAACAACAAGGGATGGCCATGTGATTAAATTGATATGTTTATAGGTAATAAACTGTGCTTGAAATGTCATCTAGTTATTATTACTGTATTTTGGAAACTTGTGAACGTTTTCAAACGAAAAATAATTCGCTGATAAAAAACCAGGTATGTTCGGTATGTAGTTTGCTGATATTAAATGAAAGATGATGCCACAGGATTGGTATGTGCCAAGCCCTTACCTGAATATAGGGATTGAGATGGTTTATTGACTTGGCTGTTTCGTTTATACAAGGGTTTGAATTAACCCTATTATTGTTTCCTTTAGTTCCTAGAGGAACAAAGGGCTTCAGCCGCACGTTTCGATTGCGTTCGGTTCTCTACCAACGTTTCCACCTGACTCCACGTCTGCCTAAATGCTTTCATCTCCTCTTCACATGACCTCCTCCATTCCATGTCACCCTCTCAATGACGTCCAACTCACCGCTTCCTATTAGGGTTCCACTCAAGCGATGGCCTGGCGTGTTGTGACATCACAATGTCACTTGATGGCTTGTTTTCTCCGAGTAGAGCCGATTTACCTCCGTTTCCTCCTGCATATTTGTTGCAAAATTGATTCCTGATGGGTGGGCTCGCTCTCAGAGATCTCTGTTGTTGATCTTTTCTGGCCATCTGACGTCGAGTAGTATTGAGTGAAAATATCTGTTGATGGAAGTCTGTAGTTTGTTCGAATTGCCCTAATTGACGAGTTATTGATTGATATAGTCTCAGTATGGACAAAACAGTGGTCGTTTGATATTTATCAACATGCATCGTCTTTAGTGAAGATGTAAGCCATATAGAGAGGTATAGATTACCTTACTCCTACGATTTGTTAACTCTTGCATCCTGTCTATTATTCTCTATTGTTCCCCCTTAGTGTTTTCCAGGGCTACTGAAGAAAGACTATACCTTATTACGCAGGATGTTAAAGGTTGTCACTAGGGTAAGCAACGTGCCACATAACCATCTTGTTAATATTCAGGTCGACAGGCACATGAACCCATGTGAAAAATGGGCTAAATCCATTTTATCTAACTCACACCACCCTCTTCATTCACAACTCTCCCCTTGTATCCCATCAGCCAGGACCAGAAGCCTACATAGGAAACTATATGCTCGCACTAGAAAGTACAAAAACTCAACGATACCCTACTTAGCTTGTGTTCTGTGCGATAAAGGAAGCCTTAGGCGTGTAACTTATGACTTATTAAAAAGTCAGTAGAACAATTGGATCTCGTCTTTCCAACTCATACCATTTAGGGGTACAACGTTTTCTTTCTTTCTTTTCCTTTCTCTCTCTTTTCTTTTTCTGTTATGTGCTGCTTTGTTTCTTTCTTCCTTACAAACTCTATTTAAAACATTCTTCTTCGTTCTTTCACACTCTGTATATCTCGACCTTTTTGTTACCGCTCACGCCAGTAAATATGCTAGTAGTATCTACTTTTCTAACACCTTCAAACATTCTGTTCAATTTAGGCTTTGCTACCGACATGCCAATATGTTGTTGTCAAAACTAACTGAGATTACCCTTAATCTATGTGGAATTTTATTTATTGTTAATGTACAAACTGGATGCAATATTGTAGTGAAATGCTGAGAATTCCATTCTGTATCACAAGTACTGTTTTGGAATAAAGCAAATTATTATGTATGTATGTATTCCCTGCGTATTATCTTTCATTTCCTGGTAAGTTTTACTCCTCTCTGTCTGGTGTATAAGAGGAAAACATTGTGACTGTTGTGGAGTATTATTCCATGTTAACCTGTTCACTAAGTTAAGCACATAGTGATAAAGTATTATTTACTTGATGTATAATAACAACTAAGTGCTCTACCAAATAGATATTCTAGTTGCTTCTTCGAAATGTGGCAACTTGAAGTGATTCTTGCCCGTTCAAGGTCCCAAGTTGTTTCTTCAGTGAATAAATGATTGTGATCTATCCACCTAAGGCTAAAACCCGATAAATAGATCACTACTGATCTGTTCGAGTGAATCTATTTATGGTCTTTTGAACTAAATTAAAAAATATGGTGCCATATACTCCTAACTGACTAATATGAGTAGTTGGACATCATCCATATCAGTCAGTGATGCTTACTAACTAGGCCAAATTGATTTAAACACTGGATGGCCCTTCCTCACATTCGGAGCTGAACTCACTAATGGTGTGCTCTCGGTTTCACACAGCTCAGAGGGCCTGACGAATCAGTTAAAACCAGCCTTATTTTGGCTAGCAACTTGACCGCGAAATTGGTAATACGTCAAGTCAGCTTCGGTTTTCAAAAGGATTAATGATGAAATTTCACTCACTTGTAGATTGTAACATTCAGGTAACTTAAATAAGTAACAACTATGAGATGCGGATGCACCACTGACCTTCAAGGCATACCATTCGTTTAGATTACACAGCCGCTGTCGTTATTACAGCATTAGTGTGCTGAGAGCTAGCTGCCACCCAAAAATTGTAGACAGCAATTTACGTTAATGTTACGACCTGAATCTGGGTCATGAGAAAAAACAATAACAAGGCTTAACCTTGGGGAACTCGCCAGCCAATCACAGAAGACTTAACGTGTGCAAGTAGGATTCGCAGATATATGACTTAACTTTCTAAGAAATGGTCACAAGCAGTACAGAAAAGCCTTCAGCGAGAAAATAACAACCAGTCATAAGACGTTGCTTCTCCACTAACAATAGTGTAAATGAAAATCTATAAATATTTGTTGATTTTCTTAAGAAACGATTTGTTGCCTGCTCCTTGTCTTCTGTCGTTACAATAGTATGAACACTTTGCACAAATTAATGTGCGAAATTTCATTCTGATCTCATTTTTAGGTACTATTTGGACAATAAGTGGATACTACCTTAGGGTTAGGGTTGCGCTGTCTTATTATTATTATAATAATTCCTCTCTGTATTTTTCTTGTAAATAAATAAATGGGATGAGAGTGATTCCATATTAGTTTGCTTATTAGATGTATCACACAGTCAGTGAAACAGTATTATTGCTTACTGGATGACGTTTCAAACAAAATGTACTGTGCATAATCATATCAATTGTAATCATACGACTTCGAAACTTGAGTTTTATAATTTTCTTTGTCTTCTCCTATTTGTCGTAGGGGTTGTAGAATTTATGTAGAATCAATGATGACATGTATGTCAAATATACGCAAGACAACACCAACAATAAGGGATCTAAATCATCAGTAGTAATTTCATACAGGGAAGGAACCTCGAAAACCTTACGCAGAATTCTTAACAATGCAGGCAGGAATAAAAGTAGCTGGCATTCAAACCTACAAATTCAATTAGAAACAAGCTTTGTCGTTTAGAGGATTCGGTGGAGCCTTTAAAACAAAAAAATTTTAGTTTATCTAATAGCCTTTTGGAATGATTGTCAGGTCAAATACATAGGTCAAACTAGTAGAAAAGGGGCAGTCAGACTAGCCGAACATGAAAACCTAGCTAAATCTAGATTGGTTGACCCGAATAAGATAAGAAATCTAGAGAATAGTTCAGCTCACTACATGCGATTACACACAGCCATACAATAGGCTGGATGTGATAAGATGACAATTTTCAAATCTGATGTCACAGAAGCTTTGTTTATCGAATCAACCGCAAACCAACACGTGCAATAGGAATGATTCAACACCTGTCCCAGACGGATATCTGGAAAATTCTACTACCACAACGACAACAAATAGGAGAGAACAAAGAAGGCTATAAAACTCAAATTTCAAAGTCGTGTGATTACAATTGATATGATTATGAACAATAGTAAATTTTGTTCGAAACGTCATCCAGTAAACAGTAATACTGAATTGAATTTTTGATTTTCCCGTCAATTGATTGGACCGAAGTGCTCGGTCTCAGGTTGACATGTCGGCTTCCACTGGACTCCACTGCTAGCCACCATCCACCGATTGTATACAAACAGTAATACTGTTTCACACTGTGTGATACATCTAATAAACAAACTAATATGGAATTACTTGCTACCATAATGACCAAGTTTTACACACATACTGGGATGAAAATAATTGATTGTTCATATTGATGAAACTGTTTTGGTAGCCATAAAACTTAAAAACTGGTACCCTTCATTGTAATTGGAAAGTATTTTTCAGTTAAGTCAGGGTTGATGTTGTATCATTACAATTCTGTTAACCTTTCTCGTAAATAAACTGCCTATTGCCTTCATTTATTCATCAATAAAACTTTACCATATTCTTAGGCTTACATCAATCTTTTTTTCTAATTATACTAATTTATTCTTGTATTTAATAATTTGTTTTGGTGAAGATATGCGTGAACTACGCCTGGATGTTATTGACAGTCGTCATCAGCGTGTTATTGGACGTGGACGCCTAGATCGAATTGATCGTCTAACTTCGACAACACCAATTGATGCGTAAGATAACACCATCTTTTTTCGTTGTATAAAATATCTACTGATTATTATGATTATCTTAGTTTTCTTAACAAGACACTTTTAAATGCCCTTTACTTTGATTTCTTTATGGGCTGTTATATATAATGGCATATCCCTTTTTTTTGAAGTAGTGGCGCCGCCTGTTTTATTACCCGGTGGGTATAAGGATGTTTCAGTAATTAGGCTAAAGTATGCCACAGCGGGATTTCATGAATATTCAATAATATATGTTTAACTTTTGAACTTACTGCCCTCCTTTAATCTATCACACTGAGCAGATATCAAGATGAAGTCAAGATTTTCCGATAAAAGTGCAGCAAATGTATTGCAGTTCAAGAGTATAATGCCACGGATAATGTGTACGTCAGAAAACCACTTTTAATGAGAAATTTTATTTAAAGAGCATCCATTATATATATATATATATATATATAATATATATATATATATTATGTACTGGTCGAGAATTTAATAGTCCTGACGCAAGAAAGACGGAAATCAGAAGACCACTAGGTTTGCGATGATACTTCTATTTTCCAAAACACCAGGAGAATCAATGTCACACAAGAGTGTGAGAGCAAAAATATAAGAATGTCCGAACAAGTGTGTGAGCGAATATTCAAAATGAATAAATCAATAGACAGTCTTAACATGATTGGCTAATTATAATGGAATATCGATCCATATATGCATAGCAAAATATATCAAACTGTCAAACAAACACACATATTATATATATATATATATATATATACATATATATCACATCATTAAATCACCACAGCCACACACTTAGACGTTACAATTAGCGGAGATAGGCGATAAAGCCACCCTTTCTTCCCTATTTATCATTTTACCAATTCAACTTTGATAGTATTACAACATATTTTATTGGAGTACACATTTTTTAGTTTTCTCAGCTGGTTGGTGTATTGAACAAAAAGAACAATCTTAATTTTCTTAACATATAGCTCTACCAACAGTCTAAGTTGTCGGAGTGTTTCTGTCTTCAGTTCAACTATGTGAAGCTCACTGATTTCTCACTAGGATAAGATTTTATTTTGGTAAATCACACAGTGTTGTACAGTAATATTTACTGGTGACCAGGTTTTCAGCACAACTTATTACTGCCCATAATCATATCATATCACATCCTTGTTCATCGAGTCTACACCCAACACATGCAACAGAAATGACTCAATGCAAATACCAAAAACATGGAAGATATTATTGCCGCCAGTCAGTCAAATCAGAAGAGGATAATAAATAATCTTAAAATTCTATTTCAATTCAAAGACATCATAACATTCTAATAAGTAACTTATTATGACTATAAAAACACTCGTCTTATTTCCCATCTGATTGTAGTCGGTCAATAACACTCGTATTATTATTTCTTAAAGTACGTTATCCCATATTGATTTTTATTCAAATATCCAGTCAATTCCACACATGTATATAAATGATGAAAAAAAAACTTGTGTGAGTAACTTGATATGATTATATATTGCTGTACAACACTGTGAGACTTATCAAAATAAAATCTTATCTATACTGGAGTTATGCTCTACCACAGTGCCCAAGTTTTATAGTTATTCTCACTAGGACTTGAAGCAACTTGTAGCCAGTGTGTGTACACTAGATCAGTTTCTAAATGTTGGTTTGCAGGGGTTTGACTAGTTCCAGCCTCGATCACCATGTGATTTCAGTTGGAGAACCATTGAAAATCACAAGGTACTTAGAGAGGGGGTGTTGTTACGTCCTAGTTTGCTACTCTTCATCAGCCCGCGCCTATGAATTCATCGGGAATTGAGGCCATGACCTTCAGGTTGTAAAGCGAACTGGTTGGCCATTCATTCATCCACTGAGACGAAATACAACAGCGTATTAATTCTGCCTTCCAATTCTAAATTCTCTTTAGTAATTCCTACTTTTATTAACTGAGATCTGATCATGATCAAAATTGAAATCAAACTAATACTTGAAAATTTTAATTTTCCCAATTTGACAAGACTAGCATTTGATTAGTGCCTCAATGGTTGACTGGTAGAGACTACTCACCAACCATACCACACCACACATAGTCCGAGTTTGATTCCCGGTCGACACACTTCTAAATCTCACTTAACCGGTGGTACAGTGAACCTGATGAGGACAGAAGGGGTTGGGCGTAGAACTAGTGATCCCACCCCTGTAAAGTACAACACACCGCCAATAAAACTTCAGAAATCAGTGTTTGAAGTTTTATGCTGCACTTGGAATACAAAGGAAATGAGAAGGAACATTTGATTTTTTTCAACGAAAGCGAATAAAAGTGAACTGAAGTACATGCTTACCTGTTCTACATGTTACTACTTTCATCACTATGATGTTTGTACGGATGATGCCTTCTTAAGAGCTTCCGTTTTATAAAGAGAGGAAAGTGTCATGTGAAAGTAATGTTACTGGGGGAAGAAAAATTGATTTTGGCTTTAGAATACCTGATTGGCGATTACTTTCAAAGTTTGGTCATACAAGGAGAAAATTAATAGTCAGGCATACAAGTGTTGGTTTTCAGGGATTTGATTAACTACAAGATTAGCCAAGAACCGAATTCAGTTAAAGAACAACTGAAAACCGGGGAGTATTGGGCAGCTCTTTTGTCCGTAGTCTGACACACTTCATCAGTATGCACCCGTGACCTCCTACCAGGGCTGGTGTTCTACCAAGTTGAGCAATGAGGATAAGTAATCGCCAGTAACATTGACTGCCAGTCACTCTATATGTCACGAATTGGCCTAAATTAGGGTTGACTGGCTATTGAATTCCCAATGTCTCAATGGTATACAAATCTGCCTTGTAAACTGGAAGGTTCTGGGTTGAATTCCCTGTGGGGTCATATGTGTAATGCTAGGAGTCTCAGACTAGGACAAAACACTCGTCCAATAATCCATGATTTTTGATGGTCCTCCAACTGAAGTCACTTTGAGATCGAGTCTGGAATCAATCAAGCCCCCACAAACTAACATTTGAAAACTAATCTAAGGCTCTCTAGTGACTAGCTACAGCATGAAGTCGCCTTAAGTTCTAGTGAGATGTTGTGACCACCAGTCGTTGGCTCCACCTAGGTGAACGTGAGGACAGAAACTCGCTGACGACTTAAGTTGTTGGTAGGGATGTATCTCGCGAGGAATGAGATTGTCTTATGTTCAATGCACCAACCAGCTGATAGAAACTGAAAAATGTGTACTCCAAAAAAAATATGTTGTAATGCTATCAAAGTATAATTGGTATAACGCTAAGTAGTAAAAAAGGGTGACTTTATTGCCTATCAGCACTAATTGTAGCGTCTAAGTGTGTGGCTGTGGTGATTTAATGACGTGATATATTTTTTGTATGCTGTTTTAATGAAATTTTGCATTAAATAGTTGTGTTCTGATGTGCATATTATCAGTGACATGATATTCTTGAACGGTGTTACATTTGCTGCACTTCTGTCAGAAAATTTTGCTTGATACTCTCTTATTATTATTGTTCCCTTGAGTTCCTAGTGGAACATAGGGCCCCAACTGCACGTCTCCACTTGCTTCTGTCTTCTGCTGTACTTTTCACCTGCATCCATGTTAGTCCGTACTCTTTCAACTCCTCTTCACACGACTTCCTCCATGTCACCCTTGCACTGACGTCCCACTCACCGCTTCCCTTTCGGCCTGGTTCCACATGAGCAAAGGCCTGTCGCGCGCGCGATGTCACCCAGTGGCCTCCTCAGCCGCGAATGTTCAATCCATTTCACTTTCTCCTGCATATTTGTTGGCTGGTGATTGGTTCTTGTTTTGTTTGTTACCATAGTTTCTGTTGTGATACTCTCTTAAAAGCGCTATATTTAAAGTGTGGTATTAGTCACAACACTTATTGTTGATTGTTTAACAGAACGAATTTGGTTTACAAGATATTTGCGTAAAACGTGTTCACGAACATATATAGGAGAAAGAAGTTATGTGCTTAGGCGTAATAAAAGATGAATAAAATACTGAAAAGTGGTGACTTCTTGCTATTTTTTCGGGGTTACTGGACATGACCATCTGACATTCATTTTGTGGTAATATGACTGTCAGCCCCGTTGAAGTGGAAAGCGTTTAGAAAGGGAACAAGAGTAAAACTGTAATGGAAGAAGACTAAGGAACTTGATAACGGATTTATTTTTTATTAGGGAAAAACCCCAACATGTTTATGCCATTATCAACCATGTTAAAGGTGGGTTAGGTCAATGGAGAATAAACTGTTCTAGCTGGTTGTCGAGTTTCTGGAGGTTAAAGAATAAGACGAAAAGTTCTCTAGTGAGATTATTTCATGTTCACAGGGTAAATTAGATCCAGATTTTGAGGAATAACCACTTCTGCCTGTGCAACTAGTGTCTTGAAGTATTGATTTCACTTATGGTCGCTTCTTATGAGATATGTTCGATGGCTCACACCATGTATTTATGATCCTTAAGTGACAAGTACATGACTAACCTGTCACATACACACACACCCTTACGGTGAGAAAATTTCGTAGTATAGAAGGCATTAATAGGCGATCCTTAGGTTCTTTACAAAAGAATCATTTTCATTCAATTCAAATTATTAATAAATATTCCAAGCTCTTTTTTTTCTTCAAAAGACTGATTAGTTAAACAAAGAATATTCTTTTCGTTAACTTACTGATTTCGTGGGTTCCACACAGTCTTAGACAGCAGTAGTGGCTGGACCTATTTGTTTTGTGCACACAGAGCTCTGACTGTTTCAAGAGAATTTCAATAGCCTCTAATATTTTGAGTATCCGGTGCCTAGAGGCTTTTGGCAATTAATTTTGTATCCGATATAGATTGTGGGAAAAGATTCGTCGATATTGGCTGTTTAAACACTGGGTGATCTTATATCCAACTATTGATAGAGTGTTTTGTTTTACTATAGCTTTATTAAGCCACACTGGTAGGTGTTCCACAGCACGAAAAACTAAGTTCCTAGATCGATGACCAATATAACTGGCTCTCCAGGAATAGTTCAACTGATTAGATGCAAGAAGAGGAGTGGCTAGCTTAGGCACTTCATCTTTCAGTTAGAAGAATCACAGTGAGTAGGGCAATATGAACTGCAGCCTTACTGGCATTAAAGTCTTTGAATTGACTTTCTCAGCTTGTTGATGTTGTTTTTCAAATATTATAACTTTTACTGTATTGTTTGTTACCATATTTTTGTGGTTAGACGGGAGTTCAAAAATATTTCCAAGCGTACTTTATATCTCCCGTCGTAATTGTACCTTTTTGTTTTTATTGTCTTATGTATTTCAGTATATTACCTGTTATCAATGAAATTGGTGAAAAATTGGGTGATTTAAATCTTTCAATAATGATTGAACCTGTACTTTGTAAGTGACTTTTATAAAAACAAAACGGTTATGTGGTTTTATCTGAATTATGATTGGTTAGAAAGTAAATATATGTGATGTGCATTTATGTGTGTATGTAGTCATGTAAGCTTCATTTTCATCTACTGTTGGGCTGCCTTGAATCAGCCTGTAGTTTATTGATCCCATTAATTGACCTTCAAATCAATCAAATGAATCATACATGCAGACCGTGTTGCTCTCATCAAGTCAGTTGATTACATTATCCCTAGGATGTTAAAGTCAGCAAACAGTCTTACTAATATTTCACACACGAATTCCACCAATAAATTTAAACAGAGATGGGAATACAAATGGGGGACAGAATACTTTTGTGGATGGTGGATGGTAATGGAATCCAAAATGCTCATTTTGTCCTATTTCAGACTTGTCATTTGGATGTAGTTGGTGCAGAATAATATGGATGCGCTTTATTTCGTTGATTCTCGTCACCTGCGTGCAACCTACAATATTTAACAAAAACCAGGAACAGCTGTTTCATCCTAATTTGGGAATCATCGGCACTACGCACCCACTGGGATTCGAACCCATGATGAAACAGCTGTCGATTACTCCGGTGCTGGTTTTCATGGTTCTCTTACTGATATCAAAACGTGACTAACCTTTACAAACGAAACTATAGTAAAAAAATCCAGGAACAATTTTTTTAAGTGTTGGTTTGTAGGGATTTGATTGGTTAGAGGATTTCATCATGAGCTGACATTGGCTAGAGAACCATTGGAAAACCTGGGAGTACTGGACAGCTGTTTCATCCTAGTTTGGGATTCTTCATCAGTACGTGCCCACCCCATTAGGGTTTGAACCATGAGCTTCTGGGTACAAGGCGAGATCGTATGCCATTAAGCCACTAGGACCCAATCCAACGGCCAGTGTATGAAATCTAACTTCTTCCAATTGACGACATAGCGCGACCCCTAGCCAGTGTCTTCGGCTAGTATTTGTCCTCACACCTGACCTGCTGCACCTTACTGGTCACGACTCCCTACTCCCAGGTTTTCCAATGGTTCTCTAACCAATGTCAGCTCATGATGAAATCCTGTAAACAATTTTTTATTAGAGTGGTGGTAAGTAGCTGATAATTTCTCAATCAGAGATAATAAAATACAGTGACTAGAACTCATAAGATTGGGAAATCAAAATCTAGTGTGCTTACGAACTCAAATGAAAAGATAACGATTTAATACAGTGAGTAGATTTCAAGGGCTCAAAAATTAAGTCTAATATAAAAGTCTAGCGGAAAAATAGGCACCGGAAGACGGAGGGTTACGGTTGAAACAAAATGATGATATCAGAAGACAGTTGTCTGAATGATTGAAGTCCCATGACGGATTCTTTCTGAACACATAAGTCGGGTTTCAGTCATTTTATTTTGTGATATATACATTCAGCAAACCGAAGAAAGACTACAACTGCTTTATCTGTCAGTTATTTTGAATTCTCCCAGTGCCATCCACTCAGTGTCCTTTGTCTATCGGGTGTTTGGTAATTCTGAAGGCTATTTCGTTCATATATTCAAAGAATCTCACATAGTCCCTTCTTCCTGTCCTCCCAATATTACTGCTCCTGCAGTCACACGTGAATTGATATACACAGTAGGAAGTAACACATGAGAGGTGCCTGTCGATTTTTGACAGTGTCACAACTAGCGAGATGTTCGAAGCAGAGAAAGAGATAGAGACCAGTTTTGCTACCTGATACGTCCTGGTCAGTGCTGTACTTCAGCGTTTCTTCTTCATTCTCATAATTTTAAAAACACATCATATCTCTAGCTTCTTGATACATATAAACTCACAAGTAGAAGGAATAAAATTCACATTTGAATCGAAAATGAACAAGGAGAATTAGCTATGTTAGATTGTAAGATAAAAGAATAGAAGAAGGCAAACTACACACTAGTGTTTATAGAAAACCAACGCATTCTAATATTGGATATTTAGACTTTAATTCGTCTCATCCATTAACTGTTCAGGCAGGCTTAGTGAAATATCTAACATACCGAGCACAAAAAAGACTTAAATGACGAATAAAACAGATAGAAGAGGGGTTGGTGTTGAATAACAATCCAACAAAATTCATTAGGAAGATCAGTAAAGGCCAAAAACAAAATAAAAGTAATTGTGAAACTAGTAATGATAACATAAATAAGAGAGAATATAAGTCATCCACTGTTATACCATTTAAGGAGGGGACATCTGAGACCCCTACGTAGGATTCTTAATAAAGCAGGAATTAGGGTGGCATTCAAACCTACAGTCTTACTCAGAGACAAGCTCTGTATGCTAAAAGAGCCGGTGGACACAATTAGACAAAATAATATAGTTTACAAAACACCCTGCAATGACTGTGAGGTCAACTATATAGGTCAAACTAGTAGATCGGGGGTAATTAGATTGTCAGAACATAAGAATTTAGTGGCTAAGGGAAGAATGGTTGACCCCACCCGAGAAGATAAGTAATTTAGAAAAAAGCTCAGCTATTACACTTCAAACATTTACACACAACCACACAATAGGGTGGGAGAGGGTTAAAATTCTAAATGGTAATCTAGGTAGGTGGAGATAGAGAGAAACTGATTACGGAATCCTTGTTCATCGAGTCTACACCCAACACATGCAATAGGAATAACTCAATGCAAATACCAGGAATATAGAAGACATTATTACTGCCAGTTAGTCAAATCAGAGTATATCTATATGTTTATGTGTATGAGAAATTCACTTACTGTTTAAAAAATGACTAAAGGGATCTCATGAATCACCTGAGCTATTATAAATGAATTTTGTCTATCATCAGTAGATCCTAGGTACTGTCTCTTAGCATCCTGAAGACCTTAAGCAGTTATTCTATATATTGATACGTGGATCAGAACAACATTGAATGATTTCACAGACTGAGTTGTTATATACTACTATTGATAGCGCTACTGGCATTGATTAAGCGAATTGTGATGGGATTTAGTATTTATTGGATTATCATTTGTGTACATTTGAGACGAAAGACTCATTAGCGGTTTACTCGAATGCGGATACCTCAGTTCAATCAATAGTATACATATGTCTCTGCAGATAGTTTGTCTACACGCTTAGATACATGCTAGTCTCAGTGTCTAACACATCAGAATTTACTGTCTGAGGATTTCGACTGCCGAGTGGGAACGATGGCGGAGTTTCTTCACAACTTGACTGTACCAGGTTGTGTTATCCTCACTAAACAGCTTTCGAATTCTGTCAATACCCTGCTTTAGTTCTCTATCTTACCTATTTGTCAGTTTTTGAGCTCTTCGTATAATTCAGCATTCTAAAGTGAATCGGTACATTGTGCTCAACGGATGATAAGCTCAGCCTCCAAAATCACCTCCAATCTGCCAACTGACTGGTTTTTAACTTGTTTTATATACACAGTATTGTGGACAGAAGAACCATATGCTGCTTCTACAGAAATCGAAATTGAATGAACCTTGGAGTAATTAGTGTTATTATGATAACCTTTTTATTTCAACAAATAGTTGGATGAAAAATTCTAAGGTAGCTTTATACAGCTGATAATTTAAGTCGTGTTATTAGTAGGCTTTTCAGAGTGAGAATAAAAAAGTTAGCCTATCCCGAGGTATTTTCGCTCACAACAAATATATTCTAGCTATTTAATTCAATTTTAGATATTTTCCCGTCGATTGATCGGATTGAAGTGCTCGGTTTCAGGTTGACATGTCGGCACGCGCAGGTACATCCTTCTGACGGGTCACAAATATGACGAAATATGCATCCTGGATTCCACTGCTAGTCCCCCTGTCATCCACCAATCAACTTCTAGATATTCTAGCTGTATAAAATATTTGATAGTGCAACTTAAAAACGGTCAAAACATAACATCTGACTGACATGATTACGGCATTCCCTTAGGCCCTACTTGAGAAAATTCAAACCGTAATTAACAAACTCTTCCGTTCTACCTATACATATATACTGAAATGAATGCGCGGCAAGTTTGAGACTTTAGATAGCGTATTTCCCCACCCGACTTTTCAAGTACTATTAGAATAAATGTGTCCGAACTCTAGTCCGCTCATAATCCTATACGTTCGAGTGACCCATGTGTGTATACATGTCATAAAAGTGAATTTGGGTATAATTTTTTTAAATTCGATTTATATTCACATTTGCTGACAACCTAACTGTATCTTTGTCTATCACATGTCAAAGTGACTGCTCCAAACTAAATGACTTTTTGTCAGAAATCAGCCAGTGGTCCAAGGAAAACGGTCTAACCTTAAATCCCTCTAAATGCCAAACAGTCAATTTCACCTTTAGGCGTAAGTCTGACCTAAACAAACTAGTGAGAACTCACGAGGTGTGCGACATAGATGGCACCGAAATAGAAACCAAGTCGGAAATTAAATACTCAGGCGTCATTCTATCTGGTGATCTTTTCTGGTCGTCTCATATCTTGATGATTTCTAAGAAAATATTCCGTCTTACCTTCTGTGCGTCGGTGGCACAGTGGTTAGGACGCTCGCCGACCATGCACATGGTCCGAGGTTCGATCCCCTGCCGACGCACACTGATATCAATTGGTCGGCCTGCAAAATTTGGACTAGCGATATCACATGCTGAAAATTCCATACTTGTAACAAAAATACGGTGTATAAACAAGCTTTAATAAAAAATCAAAATAAATGCATCAAGAAGTGAAGACATTCTGGAATAAACCAACCCTTACTCTTACGATTCGTTAACTCTTTCATCCTGCCTATTATTCTCTATTGTTCCCCTTAGTTTTTCCAGGGCTTTCAGCAGGGTAAGCAATGTGCCACCTAACCAGCTTGTGAATATTCTGGTCGACAGGCTCTTGGATGCATGTGAAAAATGGGCTAAATCATTTTATCTAACCCACACCACCCTCTTCATCCACAACTCTCCCCTTGTATCTCATCAGGCAGAACCAGAAGCCTATATAGAAAACTATACGCTCACACTAGAAAGTACAAAAACCAACCATACCCTACTTAGCTCGTGTTCTGTGCGATAAGAAAGCATTAGGCGTGTAACTTATAACTTATTAAATAGTCAGTAGAACAATTGGATCTCGTCTTTCCAACTCATATCATTTATAGGTACAACGCTTTCTTTCCTTCTTTTCTTTTCTCTCTCTTTCATTTTTCTCTGTTATGTGCTGCTTTGTTTCTTTCTAACTTACAAACTCTATTTAAAACATTCTTCTTCGTTCTTTCACACTGTGTATATTTCGACCATTTTGTTACCGCTCACGCCAGTAAATATGCTAGCATTTACTTTTCTAACACCTTCAAACATTTTGTTCACTTTCGGCTTTCCTACAGACATGCCAATATGTTGTTGTCAAAACTAACTGAGATTACCCTTAATCTATGTAGAATTTTATTTATTGTTAATGTACAAACTGGATGCAATACTGTAGCGAAAGCTGAGAATTCCATTCTGTGTCACAAGTACTGTTTTGGAATAAAGCAAATTATTATTATTATTGTTATTATTATTATTTTTTGTGTATTTGTATATATGTCAACTTAAATAAGACACTGTTGAAAGCTTTTTGTTTAACACTGAACCACAAATCAGATAGACAGACGGACTGGTCTGATAGTATTAGAGGATGACATGTCGCAAAACCATTGCATTATATATAGACTTTGAGTGAACTAGAAATTAGACATAGTTTATTCTTATGCTCTATTCGAATAGTGTTGTAGCAACAAACAAACACATATACACACATATATATCTTTTACAGGCATCTCAAAGCATGTGATCAAAACGATGAGTCACACCATCCACACTAATTTTTAGAAAAAACGGCATATAGAAATATATATTATAATCCATCGTCATACTAAACACAACACTTTTAACCAAATAAATGGTGTTGAATCACTAGTAAGTCCAAGAGGGATGGGGGAGGGGGGGTAAGATACGTTTCTGGGTTAGGTTAGTTAATCACAGATAACAACATTCGAATAAATGTGACCCCGATAACTAGTTCATTCATCATCCTATATCTTTTCTGAATCATGACTTAACAACATGTGTCATAATACGTCCTTCTATCCGTTGGTTGACTGTATATACTTGAAAACAAAATTGAGCAAAGATCAAAATAGCTTAGGGTAGGTAAGTAGAGAGGGGAAGAGGAAACTGTCAGTTTAATACAATTAAATAATGATAACCAAGGTAAGGAAAGTATCTGTAGGCACACTTTGTGAACACACACACACACACAAGTTTGGTTTCTTCAGGTGGATTCCTATTCTTAAATTCATAAAGATAAGGTGGAATAAGGTAGTTTATGCTTAATTTTGCCCCAAGTCTTTATCAACCTCATTCAACACCTGGCTGTATGACAATACCATGCGCCATGTGATCCACAGCGGAAAACTCAGGTAGGTGTTCGAAGTGCATACAGAATTAAGACAAACTGGCTGCCTATTATCATCGATGATATCCTTAATTGTGGTGGACTGGATTATGCGTCGGAATGTGCACAGGAAGTGAGAAGACAGGAATATTCTGGACTACCGATGAGAAGACTCTAGAAGATCTAGATTTCACGTGTGGATGATTTATATTTAATGTTACATAAACTCGAAGACTTCCAGGAGAAAACCAACAAGCTGGCAGAAGAGGCTGGCAGGCAGTGAAGACAGAACTGCTGAGGAACATCGAGAAGATGGAGGTGATGAAGATAACCAGCCAACAGCACCAATCATCATCAAACGAGAGAGAGATTTAACCGAGGTTACCTCTTTCACTTATCCGGCTAGGAAGCATCCTTTCAACCACATGCGGGTGGTACGGATGAAAATGTCAAAGGCAGCCTGCCAGCCAAAATCGGAAAAGCAAGATGATACACCTTCATCATCAACCTGAAACCAGTTTTCAAATTTTTCAGCATTAGGAACAACACTCGATTTGTTAACACCTTCTATACGGGTCACTGCACGTCACGAAAAGGATTTTCAACAAGGTACAAAGTTTTATCAATCGCTGTATTTGCTTGCTCCTTACTGAACATCAAATTACCAACCAGAAAGAATTAGTATTAAGAAACTCTGGCAATGAACAAACAAACCGAGAGCCAATCGGTCAACAAATATTTAGGAGAAAATAAGGTGGATAGGGCATACGTAAGGAGGCCGTCAAAAAAACATTGCGCGCAATGCAGACCAGTGCTTGAATGTAGCGACGAGTGGGTCGTCAGTGCGAAGGTGACATGGAGGAGATCGTTTGGTGAGGAGGAGGAGGAGTTGAGAGATTATGGGCAATCATGGACTCAACTGTGCGTCGGTGGCATATAGCGGTTAGGACTCTCGCCGACCATGCACATGGTCCGGGGTTCGATCTCCGGCCACTGACTCAATTCTTTACCTCGCTAAGCCAGAAATAATGCTGGTAAAGAGGAAAGGTTGGGCATGAGGCCAGCCGCTCCATCCTGTAAAAATAAACACCACTGCTACAGAAACTTCAAGCCTTCTAGCTTGTAGCCGTATGTTCCTCTGGGGAATGTGAAGGAAACAAAAACAAAAAAATTGACTCAACTAAAGAGGACAGCAGAAAATAGAACAATGTTTAGATGTGTTGTTGAAGCCATATCTTTCACATGGAACCCCCTAAGGGAGTAATAATCATCCCTAATTACTGAACGTAAAATTGGAGTAGTTGTGAAGAGGCAATGAACGTCTGCCGCGTTGAATTCTCCTCTTTTTTTGCTGCATTCTTTAAACGTTATGTTATTACTTCTCTGATATCAAGAACAAGGGCTTCTTTGGAGTTGTTGACATTCTACCTTGTTTATCTTAGTGCTCGATTTATAGTTTTATCAATAGAATTTTCTGGATATCACCTTCCACTAAGTAATTGTCAAATGATATCTGAATTTCAAACTGAAATATTCATTATGAAAGATTACTCTACCTGTGTGTGTACCGAACACTTTGTTACGCTGCGTTTAAATTTCGAAGGTGCGAAACTCAAAGGAAAATGAGTAGAGTTTATTGATGAGTGAGTGCACATCTTGAAGTCTAAATAGGAATTTTCGCTGTATTGCGCACTCTCATAACTGTATGTTACTTCGAATATATATAAATATATCCATATGATTATGTATTTTTCATATGTATTTTACATTACATAATTTAGCTTCAAATCCTAAACCGATAATTACACGTTTCAATTGGAAAAAGGAAGACAGCCAACGACTGTCCAGGAATGCTGATGATAATGTTACCAATGTCGGCGATGATGATAATGATGATGACAACAATAATGAAAGTATATCCGACGAGAATGGCAAAGCTCTTCTACCACCACCACCTAGACAGGCAAAGACATTCACCTGCATAAAAAGCGATCAGAATGATGCAAATGAACAGGTAAATTTCAGTGTTGATGTTGTTTTTCAAATGATTATTACTATTGTAACACCCGAAGACAAGGGCCAGGCAACAGATCGTTTATTATTAAGGAAATCAACACATATTTATAGATTTTCATGTTCATCATTATTATTCGTTATTATAAGCAGAGAAACAGCGTCTTCTGATTGGTCGTTTTCTCACTGGAAGCTAATCTTTTATCTCTTTGTGACTGTTTCTTGAAGGTCAGATCATCTATCCGCCTACGCAAACAAGGTCTGCTGTAATTGGTTGTTGAGTCAGTCTTTGTTCTTATTTTTCCCATGACCAATAATGGGGGCGTAGACATTGACGTAAATTACTGTGTAGCAATTTTGGCTAGCAGCCAGCTCTCACCACTTTGCGTTGCAAAGAGAATGTAGGGCTTCGTCGGTATATCTCTTCATTTCATCGATTTTTCTGCAGTCCTTTCTATCTGGTTTTACGATCATCCAAGCGACCTTCCCCATGTCGCCATTGGACCCACACCCAACTCATTGCTTGCCTTCTCGGTTCCACTGGAGAGGGTCTGGTGTGTGATACCGATATCCACGCTGAAAATTCCATACTTGTACCAAAAAACAGTGTGGAATCAAGCTGTTACCAAAATAAAAAATATAAAAAAAAAATAAACACTAAAGATGTTGAGGAATAGGCGTTTGATGTTACTCAGAGGTCTCCTCAGTGTCTATCCAATCTATCTCAATTTTCTTTAGCATATATTTGTTGGGCTGTAAGTTTGTGGCTGGTTAGTTGTCAGAGTTCATTTCTGCTTCTTATCCTTTCTGGTGGTTGACCATCTGATCTTCAGTATCGACGAAGAGAAGGCAGCGGTTGATAAAAGTATTCACTAGTCCGTTGGAAATACTTTTCGAGACTCACAAAGTCTATAAACCATGCAGACAGAAACATTGACTTGAGATTCGTGTTAATAATTCGGATCTTGTTCCTTATGCTTAGTGCGGAAGATTTCTGGTTCGCTTTTTTCTATCAAATTCTGTTTTTTTTTGACATCCTCGTCTGTTGTACCTCCTGTTGTAGTTGAACTGACGCTTCCTGGCTCTTCCAGATACATATATTGTGGAACTATTCATGAGGGATCCCTTTAATATTAGTTTCTATATAACTGTGTACTATATTGAAATTTTATAGCGTTAATGAAGTTCTCAACTAGCAGATGTAAGTGTTTATAAGGATTTAATATCAGTTTCATTGTTCATGTAAATTGGAAATAAATGGCAAATATTTTCGAGATTAGATGTAAACTGTTAGATTAGGAAGATGAATCGGCTGACGAAGAAGTGATTAAAAGATGCTATACATTTAAACTGAGCCATCACTTTTTATAAGATCAGAATGTTGGCTTGCTTAGGATTACTAAAGAGTAGTGGATAATTGGTTCGGCCATGAAATAGGTTCGACCCCCTACCAATGAACTCCTACACGTCATCTAGTTTATGAGCCAGTCGATAGGAAGCCCAGAAAAGAGGCGGTGGGTTGGGCGTGAGGCTGATAACCCAAACTTATAAAAGTAGTACCACAGCTACTGAACTCGAAACTCAAGGGAATAATAATAATAATGTCGTGAATTGGCAGGAGTTAGAATTCATGAGCCATAGGACCGCGTCCCAGCGGCCTAATGGTCTGCGAGGTCACTTTGTAACCAGAATGCCCTGGGTTCGAACCCCGGTGGGCGCTCACTGATGAAGAGTCCCAAACTAGGACGAAACAGCTGTCCATTACTCTTAGGTTTCCCATTGGTTCTCTAAGCGATGTAAGCTCATGATGAAATCCTGTAACCAATTCAATCAAATCCTTACAAATCAATACTTGAATAATAGTGTGATTAGCAACTCGATGTTCAGAACTAGGCAAAATACGTCGTATCGTATATCGCTGAATCACAATTTGCATATATCATCGGTATTGTGCTACTTTATCTTCTTTTCATGTTTTCCATGCCGCTCTCATTAAATCCATCTCTCCGCCACTCAATACTCTTTCAAAATGATACGTATATTTATACCTGAACATATATACTACTTATACATCTTATCAGTAGCACACGCCGTAAAGTGAATAAACTGTAGGACAAGTCATTAACAATTAGCTGGTTAATGATGTGTAATTACGTCATCGATCTCAGTGGCAATTGCTAAATTCTTGTGCTACGAATATCTAACTAACCTTGGTTAGCTGGTCTCAATTATGTAGCTAACTTGACAATCTTCTTACAGTAATAGTAGTAGAATAGCGTTTTTTTCGATTTAATATAGTTACGCGAATCCAACAGCCATAAAATAGCATTCAGGTACAGTTGTAGGTTTTATTGTTAAGTCAATTCTGACTTCGTTTATTAATTTATCCAGGGTTTATGATGTTCCTTCTTTATGTTAATAGGATGAGTAATATCTAGGGTATTCAACTGAGAGTACGCACAACTGAACATCATCTAGTAAATAATAATAATGATAATAATAATAAACTATTATGATCCAGTAACCTGTGAAATACAACCTTAACCATTTTACAAGTTAATCATGGGTGGATATCAGTTAAAGAACCATTGAAAACCAGAGAGTACTGGACAGCTGTTTCATTCTAGTTCGGGAGCAACAACAAATCTATTCCTTACAAACCACTTTTTTCTCTGAAACCAAATCCACAATCTGAAAATTGGCTTAGTAATTCACAATCTGCACAATTCGAGGAGGTGAAATTTCACCGTTGTTTCCTTTGGAAATTAATTTTTCCCGATCACCTTAATATGTGATGATCTGCTTGATGATTTCATAAATGCTAACCAAGAAAGCAAAAAAAACATTTGTATAAAAATACATACTACTGACGGATTGGCGTGAGTAGTAGTTGCATGTCACTGATTCTGCTCTCTGGACTGAGTCCACCTGGTTACACCGCTGCTGAACTCAGTCCCAAATAAGTGAAACGACAGTTCGATGTTTAGGTCACCTCAATCTGGCTGGCTAGCAATCACTACTGATTGATGTGGATGGTATTCGACTACTCATGTTAATCAACCTAAAAAAAAATCCCATTGAGTCTTATAAAAGAAAACGTTTTACAGCAAGGCATTACTCTTGATTAAATACTAGTTAGTAACTAGTATAGTGTGTGTATCTACTTTTTTTAATTTTTTGATTACAGCTTGATTCCACACTGTATTTTTTGGTACAGGTATGGAATACTCAGTATGTTATATCGGTAGCCCAAATTTTGCAGGCCGACCAATTGATATCAGGTGTGTGTCGGCAGGGGATCGAACCTCGGACCATGTGCATGGTCGGCGAGCGTCCTAACCACTGTGCCACCGACGCACAGGACATGAGTTCCTTCAATGTCGCAGATGTGCCTTGCTGATGAGTGCCAACTAGAACGAAACCTAGGTCAAGCAAGGCTTCCTGCCGATTGCATCCAACCATCTAATACCAGCAATTCAAAGTGCACGCTGATGGTGGGCCACCTAGCATGACTGACAGAATTCAGTCTGCACCGAAGATAGGACTAGACACATTACACTAGTTATTGACTAGTGTGCGAGCAAAAATATCCAATACAGTCCTGAAGGAGGTCAGTCGCGAGCCCGAATAGCTCAGTGGTAACATCTCTCTGACTTCAGTACTGAGTGACACGGGTCCGATTTTCAGAAGGGACATGAGTTCCTTCAAAGTTGCAGATACGCCTCGCTGACTGGTGAGGGCCAATCGGCACAAAAGCTATGTTTAAGGCTGGGGTTCCTGTCGATAGCCCCTAACCATCTAATGAGTTACCCTCTTCAGCGATGTCATTCTCAAGCTGTACAATCGCGCATATATATATATATATATCATAGTAAATTGAATTGTATTAGCAACAAAAGGAATATTTGTAAAAAATTATATTTGTAAGATCTCGGCGATGTTGAAATGAGTAATTCCAACGTTTCGTTCGCCAATCTGCTCCGAACTTCTTCATAGAAATTAATCGAATTTAAGATAACAGAGGTTTATATATAAAAGGAACATCTCTCATTTTTAAAAACTTTGTCCAATCATGAGTCATAAAACAAGTATTAACAAGTATAATAAACAAAATTGTATGAGCTGTAATCAAAATTTGATCTCGGACCTGTTACAAATATTGATCTACCTTTGTTAAACACTTTAAACACAGTATGTATGTGTGTGTGTGTGTGTGTGGGTAAACAGTTGTAAAACAATGTCCTAACGTCTCCATAAGTAGATATAGATAGTCGGGAAACTTTGACCAAGTATTATTAGTTAGTGATGCATATCCATTCTTATTTATTAATCACGGTTTCCTATGCATCATCTAACATCACACCTTCATGTCTGTTCAAACTGTTAGTATCTAGAATTTTATGATTAGACGTATTTTCAATATTATGGTGTTTAGGATTAGAGTTTAGTTGAAGCACCCTGTCGAACTTATTACTTTGTCTTCTTTCTGAAGATTGAGCTGCTTTATTCGATCTACTGGAGTTGTCAGGTTACTTGACAGCTACGGATTTAGGATATGCATTGTGTTGCAGACAACGGAGAGTGTGCCAATTACATAGTTTCTATGTTAATTTAATTCGATTGCAAAATAAATCGAATGAACTGTCGCCAAGATTTGACAGAATAGTTCTAAGGAATATTTCTTCAACAGCTGCTATCCAGAAATTCACTTCATACTTGAGAAGCAGCCGTGATACTATGGAAACAAGAGGTAAACACGCTGAAGAGAATCCTCCTCGAAAGTGGCCACCCAGCGTTTGCTATCCAAACGTATCATCGAACACTTACCCTCATGGTTTTATAAGGGGGAAATGAGATCCCCCAGAAACTCTATTCTGGAACGCATGATCGAATCGGGACACCAAGCAGAACAACTTCAAAGTTATCTACAGAATACGTGGGAATCTTGCTAAGAGAGTAAGAATCAAACTTCTTCAAACCACAGATGCATTGGCGATCCGCATGTTAAATCCTGAAATCTGTATACAAACGAAGTATTCTCAGTCTACAATTGACCTGACATATCTTAACACTAAATACGTAATTTTTGTTCGTCTTTTTTTGCTTGTTTGTTTCTTAATTGTATTTATTATCTTGTTATGTTGATGCTGCTGAGTGGTTAATAGTAGTTTTCCCCGTCGCCAAATTATTGTTATGTACTGGTCGAGAAATTAATAGTCCTGACGCAAGAAAGACGGAAATCAGAAGACCACTAGGTTTGCGATGATACTTCTATTTTCCAAAACACCAGGAGAATCTAAGTCACACAAGAGTGTGGGAGCAAAAATGTATATGAATGTCCAAACAAGTGAGTGAACAAATCAATAGACAGTCTTAACATGATTGGCTAATTATAATGGAATATCGATCCATATATACATAGCAAAATATAGCAGACATGTCAACAAACACACATATTATATATTATATAAGGGGAATATACATTTTTAAAGGAGACAGGTTCATCAAAGTGAAATGGTCACAGACTAAAAGAGCAATAGAAAGAGAGACACCACCATATATATATATATATATATATATATATATATATATATATATATGGGTACATATCATATCTCCTCCCCCGCACCGCTTATTAAATCTCTTTCTCTTGTTATCACTGTTGTTTACTTGACTTTCGTTCCATTTTAATTTTAGTTGATCTCTACTCAACCCCGTCAGTCATATTGCGTCACTCAACTTGCTTACTCAATCTTATTTTATTTTGGTTTCTAACCCATTAACGAGATTTGTTACCTAAAGAGATTTCGTCAAATTATCTAGAAAATCTCAGTTTTTTGTACTTGGACTGAGCATCTACAAATTTTTTTTAAATGAATGAATTTATTCAGATTTTGACGTTCTTTGGGATTTGAATGTTCCTATATTACAGATTTTGTCAGAAGCCAACACCAGCTAGAGAATTACTGAAAAAAATGGGACACTGGGAAGTTCCTCCATTCTAGTTTATGGCCCTCCATTAGTGTGTATCTGCAACCCTTCGAAGTTACAAGCCAATCACATTTATAAATTAGCCACTAGATCGCTTTGTGGCCATGTGTATATCGGAATAAATTTGTCTCTTCATGTATATTCAGGAATCAGTCAGATGTTGTCCAATCACATTTGTTTGATTTCACTATTTTGATTGGATCAAATATTAACACTAATCAAAAGAGTAGAAAGTTCCTATTTGTTAATGCAATTCTTCAGTAAATTTTATCTTATAGAGGCGGTTAATTGAATTCAATGTCCGGAAGTTGTTTTCATTGTGGATAAATTGTCTTTTGGGTGGCGGCCGACGGCCGACTTGGTAGATTATTTCGCCGGTGCATCTTGATTATTCATTGAATTATCATTAAATAATACTATTTTATGATGTAAAACTGTATTCATAATTGTTGTAGTTCTGAGAAATTGTATTTTCAGTTGACCATTTTTAGTGTCTCCTTTGATGAATTACATTCTAAGTAGATGTTCTACTTCTTTTAGTCGGTTTCAGGCAGTCGACAGGAAGCCTTGGAAATAGATGTTTTGTGCTTTCTGGCACTTATCAGCAATCTTGAAAAAACTGATATCCCCTCCAAGATTTGAACCCGTGTCACCAGTCGACGCCAGTCAATGACGTTAACACTGATATATTCAGGCTTATGGTTCACCTCCTACAGGACTGTAATGGATAAGTTGACTGGTCACTAGGAAGCAGCCGATATCATGTGCTTAGTTCTTCGTGTTGGTGCAGATTGAATTCGATCACTGAAGTTTCCGGTGTGATCACCAAACTAGGTGACTGCCGCAGAATACAGTACTGAGTGACACGGGTTCGAATCTCAGAGCGGACATTACTTCCTTTAGTGTTGTAGATAAGCCATGTTGACCAGTGCCAAGAAGCACAACACATGGGTTCATGACTTCCTACCGGTCGCCTCCGACTATCTTAACATTAGTCTAAAGTGCAGTACGATAGCGAGTAGTCACCTAGCTTGACGACCGTATTGGAAACACTGCGGACTAGGTGCATGACATTAGCTGCTCTCTAGTGACTAGCCAATGTACGTATGTATTCACATATTTAACACAGAGTTGGGTTCCGAAATTTTTGTTTAAAGTTTATCTATATGAGACATACCCTTCCACAATAGATTTTCAACAATTTACGTATACTGATCTGGAGCGCAATATTCAGCGAAGAGACTCTTTTCAGCGAATCTATTATCAAGTTGTACAATCGTGTATATATATATATATATATATATATATATATATATATATATGGTTTTTAAGAAATTATATCCGGTGAGGGAATTAGGTAAAAGGTGTTAATATATGAAATAATATTAATAGTATGAAATGCAATTAAAATATTTGTGATTATAATCATAGTTTAATGTCAAGTGGCAAAATAATTAATGTCATATATAGAATAATACATAAGGTGTATAGATTTTAGAAAGGGGTATATAATTACAGAATTAGTAGACGAATATAAAATGTTACATAACATGGTGTGAAATTTGATAAGATAGAATTCAATATTGTAAAAATAAAAAAATTAATAATTTTGGGTTTAAAATGACAAGTGTGTCAAGTGGAAAAGATTCAGAGTGAGAATAGTAATAATAACACTAATGATAATAATAATAATTGTAGTAATAAGGGAAAAGTATATAGAATAACTAAATAAACAAAATGAATAAATGTCTATCTCTCTGCGGTCACGTCACAAGTAGGGATTGTACATACTTCTTTTTTGTACACAAAGGTCGGGCTTGAAGTCATGAGTTTCCAAGGCCTCAGCTGTCGTCTTTAGACGTCTGTAACGAAGAAAGCGCTGCCAGCAAGTTAGCATGGATTCTACATATGATCTTGAAATCATAGTCAGGGTTGACAGAGTGACAGAAGTCAAACAGGTGTTGCAGAATAGAGCTTCGCACACACTTCCTTTCTCCCTTGTAAAACCGTGTTGCCGGAATATGTTATTTTACTTAATCTTGAACCCTCTTTAAAGCCTTTCAATGACCCCAACCAGTTTGCTTATAAACATAATAGGTGTACCTCAGATGCCGCTGTTGTCCTATATCATAATATAGTATCTAGTTTAGATAGAGGAGGTAAATACGTTCGGTGTGCCTTCCTTGATTACACATCTGCATTCGACTCTGTACCTAGGTCTCTCTTGCTAAGTAAGCTTGCTACAACACATGCTGAGAGCTGGACAAAGAAGTGGTTGCATTCCTATTTTTCTGATAGGAAGCAGTCTACAATGGAAAGTCCTCCCCTACCTCACTTTAGCTGGTGTTCCTCAAGGTGCTGTTCTTTCTCCTTTTCTGTTTTCTTTTTTCTTACATGACTTGCTCCATTCTGAGGTAGCCACTTTTTGACCTCCCTGTTTCTGTGCCTGTCAACTCTCAGTCAGATTGTTCCAAATTAAATAGCTTTCTGTCCGAAATTAGTCAGTGGTCCTCTTCAAACGGTCATAAGCTGAATCCGTTTAAATGTCAGGTAGTCAATTTCAGTTTTAGATGAAAACGTGACCTACAACAACTAGCTAGCTCACATGGCTTCAATATCATTGACGGCGTAGAGGTTGAAATTACATCTAATGTCAAGTACCTTGGACTGAGTATTTCCACCGATCTATCCTGGTCCTCCCACATCTTGCTAGTTACTATAACGATGTTTTGCTTAACGTTCTACGTTAGGAAGTTAAGGCAGTCTGGTATAAATCAGTCTTTGCTTTCTCAGTTTGTCAATTCTTGTATTCTACCCACCCTCCTTTACTGCTCCCCATTAGTCTTTCCTGGACTACTTAAGAAAGACTTTGCTGTACTCAGAAGGGCACTAAAAGCCGTTAGTAGGGCGGGTGGGATATCGTTAAACCAACTGGTTAACACTATTGTGGATAGACATATAATGTCATGTAAGAAACTAGCGAATACTATATTGTCAGACCCCGAGCATCCTCTGTATACGCAGCTATCTCTTTGCATTTCATCTGGTAGAACTAGAAGCAGCTATATGCTAGGACTACCAAATACAAAGTCTACACAATACCATATCTGGCGCAGCTGTTATATGATGAGAATTCCGTTAGGTATAACACGATCAACTTACTGTGGCACTCTAACAAATAGTCCCATTAGTTTTTGTTTTCCTTTCCTCAGTACTATTACACTGTTGTTCTCATCTTCTATTACACACCAATTTTATATTTCATTTCCTGTGGTGCATTGTTTAAAATGTAAACGCAACGCTGTTGTTTTTATTTATTTATTTATCTTTTTTCGGCGCTGCTTTTTGATTTTAAAATCTTATAAAATTTATGAGGTAATTAGATGCAATATATTGTACTGCACGCTGAAAGTTCCATACCTGTACCACAAATACTGTTTGGAATAAAGCTGTTATTATTATTATTATTTATATTTAGATATTTAATATTTGCTTATTTACATATTGGTTTTCTCCAAGGAAATGAATTCAGGGCAATTTAAACGAGAACATTCAACTGGTGGTCCCGGTGGTGATGGGGGTGAACATGCTGTTGACTTAGATATTGGTTCACTTGATCAAACTCATGATCATGATCAAGATCATCATCATCGCAGATCTCATAAAATTGATAATTTATTTGAAAATCCAAATAATTATCGACATGATACAATGCAAAATCAGCATACACATATGAATAATCTGGATGACAATTTATCGATTAAAGGAAATAAAGTTAACTTTGAAAGAGGTGAATTACTCTCAGTTGCATTAGAGAGAAGTAAACATTTACGTGAAACTCTAAGTTGTTCATCGTTATACACTCAACGAGATCATGATGATGTGGCTGTGAACTTGAAAAAAGAATCACGATGGACTGTTGATGATAATCGGAACTCTTCAAATGTTTTATTGCAGAATAGGTTAGTTGATATTATTGATTTTCTTTTGATTCACATAGTGTTTTTTTGTTGACAGCCAGCCACTTTAGTTAGATGTAATGTTATAATAAAATCGCTGAGTTGTAATCCATTTTCCAGTTTATGTTTTCCTAAAGTCTACTATAACCCATGAGATTAATTGATTACCGAGGTGAATTGAGGGTGTCTATTTAAAAGATATGTGCTAATGACTATGTGGTATAACTACCAATGTGTGCCTAATGAGTTCTCTTATTGAATTTGTTGTGTCCTCTGAATTGGTTGATTTAATTACGAAGCTTTCGTCGTCCTTATAGACAACATTTTCAGTGCAGGTGTTAGTATAAAATGAACTCATTTAAAATCTCCAACAATGTTGGTGTAATTGTGTTTCCTAGCGACCAATGCAGTGACTGGTTGTTTGTATTGACATGAAATTCGAACGTTCTTGTCATGTGATGATTCACTTTTTATTAGCTGGTAAATTTGGTCTATAGAGGTAATGTGGTTGTTAATCGCTGACTGATTTACTTGAGTATCATCAGGCTTCTAGAAGTTCCCTGATTGCAGTTTTAGTGTTTCCTCTGTTTAAAATTTCGACATTATCCCAAGCATCAAATTGGCGTCCATAATTATCCACATGTATTGATATGAAAGAAGGGAGCACCCACTTTGACCGATGTAATTGCAGTTTAATGCAGTTAATACACATGCAATTTATTTTGTAAACGGTACTAATTTTATCTTCTTTTTCAGTTGGATCTTTTGGTTTGCACAATGTAGAGTGATTGTGCTAGCTGGCTGGCTTGGGTGCTGTAATATATTTCAAACGGTTTTAATATACTGGCTGTTATTTTGGAGATATTTTTTATACATGGTAGAATGAATTTTCTTGTAGTCTTGGATAATTGCTTGTTGTTAGTTTTGTGACCCGATTTTAAATACTTTTTAACGGAATTGTGAGGATATGCATTCTTTTTGAAGATTTCAGTAAATTAAATATTCCCATAATTTATTCAGAACAAAATATTTACAGCGAATAATTGTTTTCAATAAATTCTTCTTCAGGCTCTACAATTATAAATCCATCAGTGTAAGCATACAATAGCCAGTCAGTAAAGACAAATCAGAATCATATCAGAAAGTGTATTGTGGAACAAGTATAAGATGGGAAGAAACAACAGTCATATAGTTTTTTAATATTCATGATCAATGAGAACATGGGGCAAAATGAGATGGAGCAATTTAATTTATTGATGTGTGTGCATATATATAAATATAGTCAGCGAAAAATACTGGTTTCGAGAGTGAGTGTAATCAGGCTGTGTGAGGCAATATGAAAATAAACCAATGAATGGGGGGGGTCTAGACATAAGTTCAAGGTTAAAATAACAACAACAATAAGAATGATTGTCAAATAATAACGATGATATGGTGTAAAATTACAAGCACTATTGGTGAATGATTGTCAAATAACAATAATAATGAATATAATGAAGTGGAATGAACAGGATTTTGTAAATACGATAGCAAGTTAGAAAAGCACTACTTAAACCTAAGGTAATAAAATCATAAGAAAGGTTATGAAATCATAAAAGTCGAAAATGAACGTTTGTCAAGCGTTCTCAGTTATTTACCGCGTTCCTAGTAATTTATCTAGAGGAGCTCGACTACGTCTTCTGTCAGTAGCTGAAGCAGTTGCAATTAATGCCAGAAGACCATCCCTCTGCACACAGAAGAAGTATGTTCAACCTCTATGTTTACCTGGCCTACAATAAAGCCAACAAATCCTCCATTAACACTATAAATTCCTTTCACAATTTTCTTTTCCTTTCTTCTTCTTCTATTCCTCTATTTCATTGACAAACGTTCATTTTCGACTTTTATGATTTCATGACCTTTCTTATGATGTTATTACCTTAAGTTTAAGTAGTGCTTTTCTAACTTGTTATCGTATTTACAAAACCCTGTTCATTCCACTTCATTATATTCATTAGTATTATTATTTGACAATCATCCTTATTGTTGTTATTTTCAACCTTGAACTTATGTCTAGCCCCCCCCCCATTCATTGGTTTATTTCATATTGCCTCACACACCCTGATGATTACACTCACTCTTGAAACCTGTATTTTCTGTTAACTATATTTATATATATACACACATCATTAAATTAAATTGCTCCATCTCATTTTGCCCCGTGTTCTCATTGACCATGCATATTAAAAAACTATATGACTTTATGACTTTTGAAGATTGTTGGTTAGTAAGTGTTTTTCTTAAATTCTCTTTAACACCGGAATAGTACTACATTGTGTTTGAACTGTTTTAAACAATGTCTGCGCACAGTTTCTTTTGTAGGTATTATTATTTATTATTGTATCCTTTAGTTCCTAGAGGAACATAGGGCTTCAGCTGCGCACCTCCATTTTGTAGGTAATTTAGTTATTACCATTATAACAGTTAAGGTTTTGGTCTGTGTGCGTTGATTTTCTATATACTTGTGTTTCTAAATTTCCTGTTTTAGTTCTCTTGATTAAGCATCTAAGAATGGAATTTTCCTGTCTAATTCTTCTTCTCTTATGCTGAATTTAATGTCTTCAAATATGTTGTTTATTAATTTATGGGTATATTCCAAATCATTTCTTTTAATTATTACAAATGTATCATCAACATAACATAGGTGGAGCTATTAATTCCGTTTTAATTTTTTCACTCATACTGTGGCAAGTGCTACTGATAAGATCTATCAGTAGTATGTAAAGAAACGTTCATCGGCATAAAAACATCAAATAGGAGGAAGATACATTTGATTTCAGAGAAGGCAAATGACACAGCGTTGCTTGCGGAGATACATGAGAGACGTGAAAGGAACACAAAGAAACACAATATGAAGGAAGGCCAGAAGAAGCGTAACGACAGAAGACAAGAGTCAGGCAACAAAACGTTTATTGGGAAAATCAAGAGATATTTATAGATTTTTATGGACATTATTATTCGTCATTACTAGCAGAGAAACAACGTCTTCTGATTGGTTGTTTTCTCGCTGAAAGTTATTCTGTCATCTCTTTGTGACCATTTCTTTGGAGGTCAGACCATATATCTGCGAATCGTATCCACCCACGCACAGTCTGCTGTGATTGGTTGTTGAGTTAGTCTTTGTTCTCCTTTTTTTCTCATTACCACGATTTGACGTAAATTGTTGTTTACCGATTTCGGCTAGCAGACGACTTTCACCACAGTAGCGCAACACGAAGATCTGTGCAAATGGTGATTTGAAGATAAACTATACATAATTTGGCTATCAAGAGATACCAATTTCCAAATAAACAATCCTTTGCCGTTTCAATACTAGGCCCTGATAAGATAAAAAATATGCAGATCACTTTTCTACAGTAACCTCTGCAAACTATTCGATTCTAGAAAACTGAGATGGAATTTATTTGTTTCACTACTTTTAGTTGTATGCAGCAAGATTTCTTTTCGATGCATTTCCTCGATTAATTGTACCGGTTGGTATGGTCACAGTAATCTCATGGTTATCGCCAGTATGCTATCAATATTCCACGTCTGTTCGATAAAATTCCCACCTCTATGTAAATGAGAACACATCGAGATGGCTGGGAAGAATATGTTCCCACAATAAAATATAATTTGAAAATCCCCCAAGGCTGTCAGTCAGTCTATATTTTTATTTTTTTACTTTTGATTACAGCTTGATTCCACACTGTATTTTTGGTACAAGTATGGAATTTTCAGCATGTGATATCGGTAGCCCAAATTTTGCAGGCCGACCAATTGATATCATGTGTATGTCGGCAGGGGCTCGAACCTCGGACCATGTGCATGGTCGGCGAGAGTTCTAACCACTGTACCACCGACGTACAATAAAATAGTGGGTGTTATTTTACTTAGGCCAGCCTGGTTATCGACCACCATATCACTTTTATGTTTCCAAACATTGATGACAATTTTCGACAAAATGCAACTATGAGGGATACAAACCACACTCAAGGTTACACGAAATGACCTTGAAGAGCCTGTTACATAGTTTCCAGCAAAAACCGGTTTCCATACATAAATTTACTGTGAAGTTTTACCTATCTGATTCGCTTCCTGAAGGAGTCGTTTTGTGAAACATAGAATCTGGTATCTGAATTCTGTGCTGAAGATGTGTAGAAGGACAACGAAAGATTTGCGATTAAATCAACCAGCTCAGAAAATACAATTAAGTCGAAATCATCTACCTAAGCTACGTCTTCTGCGTTATTTCAGAGCCTGGTATCTATTATAGTTACCACTCAGAGAACGTAATTGTGTTACTGACTAATGGTTAATCACTTTAGCCTCGCTGGTCAGATAGCTTCTAACCCACTATTCAAGAATATATCGGCTTTTATATATGTTGTGGACTACAACCAGCTCTATGAATAATAGTCGTTTTTTCTAAAAATTAAAGTTTGTGAGCTCGCCTTGTAACTGGAAGGTCCTGGGTTCGAACCCGTTGTGGCGGGTGCGTACTGATGATGAGGACGAAATATCTGTCCAGTACTCCCAGGTTTTCCAATGGTTCTCTAACTAGTTTCAACTGATGATGAAATCCTGAAACCGATCAAATCCCTACAATCCAACACTTAAAGTTTGTGTTTCATCATCTGTCTGCTTATCTTCAGAGAACTGTTTTAGTGGTTAGTATATAAGTTGAGTAATAATCATTATCATTAGTATCAGTCTCCTCCGTTCGATGGCATCATTGCGGGAGTAATTCTGAGGTTCGGCGGCGTGTCTTTGAACACAGTGGAGATTACCATTCATTAAGTGTCGTCATCTGGAAACACCGGCTCCGGTGGCTTGGATATGTGCTGTGAATATCATCCCAGAGGCTTTCGTACAGGTCTCTATTTTCTAGCCCTAGGACGGGATGGAAAAGGCTGAGAGAGGTGGTCAGTTCATGACGTGGTGTCGTGGGATGAAGGGTATTTGTGCTAGATTAGCATCGGTTGGTGCCTCACGACTCCCTGGTTGGGGTCCACGAGATACCTCAAATCGATGGCTAGAAACGTAATCGGATATGGCCAAGAATCGTAATCAGTGGCAAACATGTTGCAATTTTCTTCTTTTTTCCCTTCCTGATGATAGTTAACGAATACTGTTTGAACTTGTTAAGCATGATTGTTTTCCTTTCAGATGAAGTTCTTTATCCGTTCTCTACTTATATTCTTTTACTTTTGATCTATGTTGTTTTATTATTATTGTGTGGCACATCTCTCTTGGTGTCATATTGTACCAAGTTTTTTCTGCGTTTAAATAGATAAATAAATAATAAAAGTCTCCTTCTAGCTATATTTATTTCATTGTTTAAAAGATGAAATTCGCTTCATACTTAGTTATGACTTATTTAAAATTCGCTCTAATAAATTAAGATATAAAGAAATCACTTGTAAAGTTGATTCCTCACTGTGGTGTTTAAAATATGTTTTTGATGTACAAACCCTATCAAAAGTTGACCTTCAAGAACCGATCAGACTTAGGGAGCACTATGAAAGATCATTCCAAGTCAACTTATGCTTGCCTTTATGTGTTTGGAAAGAGTGTGATAATGTGGCAATGCAAACTTGTGTGAGATGTAATTAATCCTGTAAGAGAAAATCCTTCCGTGAGTGTAGGTAACATTATTCTACTTATGCCATAGGTACTTTTTTCTGTTAGAGTTGAGATCTGTGCTCTATTAAAGTGTTATGTACTCGTCGAGTAGTTAATAGTCCTGAAGCGTAAAGAGGGAAATCAGAAGACCACGAGGTTTACGATGATACTTGTATTTTCCAGACAAGGAAAATAAATGTCACACAAGAATGTGAGTGAAATGGTACGAAATGTACGAACAAGTATGATAAGCAGGAGTAAATATGAAAATGGCTAATACACATGAACCAATAGATATACAGTCTTACCATGATTGGTTGTAATGTCATGTGATAACAAGGTCATACATTGTTTATTTAGTTAGCGGAGATACAAAAGCATAATGTCAGTTATAGTAGAATATCGATCCATATACACATAGCAAAATATAACAGACTGTCAAAAACAAAACATACATCATGGGAATAGATATCATAAAGAAACACAGCCAGGAATCTTAATGGATCCCAGAGTATAATGCATTTACAGTCACTTGGATGAATACATCTATTGCGAATGGTATGATTTCCCTACTGATTATTTACGGAGTAAGCGGGCGGCATTCTTACAACACATTGGAGAGACAATTATTCTGTGTAATGCTTTTTAATTCATTTTCGACGATTATGGGACCTTTTGCATCTAAATTCTGATTGGTTGTTCTAGGTCACTATGATGTTTTCCTATGATAATTTAATTTCTCCGTTGGAATACACATCGTCTCATTTAACCGAGGTGTATAGTACTCACAACAACAATATTATATATGCTTACTTAAATTATTCCTACTGCTAATATTCACGTAGGTTCCGAGTGGAATATGGGTCTTGAGAACCATATCGCCACCACATTTCTGTGCAGTCCTCTTTTTTTTACGTGTTTTCACGATTATCCATTAACTTGGGTTTCCTCCTCACACCACTTCCTATTGGTCATCCTTGGAACCATACGCAACTCGTTGTTTATCATTCGGGGGGGGGGATTCCACTCGATGGCTTCGCGGTATGATGTGGTCACTTAACGGTTCATCAGCTTATGTTCATGCCACCTGTATATCATTCTGGGTAAAATTTATTTTGATAAAATCTCAGTGTTATACAGTAGTGTTTTACTGATGATGTTTTGAGCACAAATTATTACTGCTGATAATCATATCAAGGTACTCATATAACTTTCTAACTTCGTTTATATAATTCCATGATTATCCATCGCTTGATTTGATTGGTGGTAGTATTTTCCATAATCCCGCTATGAGTGATGAGTCATTCCCATTGCACTTGTTGGGTATAGACTCAATGAGTAGGGATTCAGTAATCAACCTCTCTCGCTCTCCACCTACCTGTATTGCTGCTTAGAATTTTCGGTGGCAGTTGCTGAGCTTTTTTCTGAATTAATCATCTTCTCTGGGTCAACCATTCTTACTCAAATTAAATTCTTATGTTCTGATAATCTCACTACTCCTGATCCACTGCTAGTTTGACCTATGTAGTTGACTTAACCCACAGTCATTGCAAGGTATTTTGTAAATTATATCATTTTGTCTAATTGGGTCAACCTACAGGCTCCTTTAACCTACCTACAGAGCTTGTCCTACCTGAGTGAGTGTGTAGGTTTGAATGTCACCCTAATTGCTGCTTTATTGAGAATCCTAAGTTAACACGGTCTCAGATTTCCCTCCTCATATGGTAAAGCTGTAGATGATTTATATTCTCCCTTATTTATGTTATCACCGCTAGTTTCACCATTATTTTATTTCCTTTTGACCTTTTCTGATATTCCTAACGAATTTTATAGGATAGTTAGTAATTTAACACCAACCAGCCATTCTTCTATCTGTTTCATTTCATCGTTTAGGTTTTTTTGTTGCAGTATTTAGTGCTGTTCCTCGGTTTGTTAGACACTTAAAAACTGAGCCTGCCTACAGAGACAGACAACGGATGAGATGAATTAAAATCTAAACATCTGTTAGCAGAATGCGTTGGATTTTTATAAACGCTAGTGTGCTCCTTACTTTCTTTGTTCGTTTTATTTCACAACTTAACAGAGTTAATTCTCCTTGTTTATCTTCCGATTAAAATGTATATTCTATTCCTTCTATTACTGAGTTCATTTGTGTATGAAGAAGCTAGAGATATGTTTTGTTTTTAACACTGTATGAGAGTTTCATCCAGATATCTCCAACATATTATTTGTGGAGTAGGATTAAATGTACTAAAAGCCGTATTTTCCCAATTATCCATAAATATATCTACTACGATAGGTGATATTGGTGATCCATCCCATTGCTATACATTCCGTTTGTCTATATATTTTTTCCCTGGAATTTAAAGATAGTAGACACGAGGCATAATTGAATTCTTGAAATAATCTCCTCAATAGGCAGCTTCGTCTCATGAATACGTTCAGGATCTACAGTTAGGTCCTTTTTAACCGCTTCTAGGGCCATGTTGATTGGTATATTATTATCAAGACTAGTTATATCAAAACTAACTATTTTTTTCATTATTCTCTAATTGGATATTATTTAGCTTCTATTTCATTTCATATGAATTAGTTAGCCTAGAGTTTGGACTACTTCTGATGTTACATAGTATTATAGCTAAATGTCTTGACGATCAATATTAGGCGTATCTCTGAAATCTGCTATTGGTTTTAATAGGGTAACCTGGTTCGTATATTTTAATAGTACCATATATTCTACTGATATTATTAGTATTTTGGAATTAAACTGAACCAGTTAGACTCACCCATCAGTAAATATTACTTTATGACACTGTGAAACGTTTTCAAAATAAATTTTACCCATAATGGAATTATACTATACCACACTGCACAAGTTCAATTCTTATGCCATCTACATTTCCTTTTATACATTTATGCTTGTCAGTCATATTGCAGCAACAGAAGACAAGGATCAGGCAACAGATCCTTTATTAAGGAAATCAACAAATATTTATAGATTTTTATGTACATTATTATAGATTATTGTTAGCAGACAACACATGTGGTGAGAGCAGGCTGCTAGCCAATTGGTAGACGTCAATGTCTAGGTCACTAATATTGGCCGGGAAAAATATGAACAAGGCCGATTCAACAACCAATCACAACAGACTTAAACGTGGGTAAATATGATTCGCAGATAGATGGCTCCACTTCCGAGAAACTCGAAAACAACCAGTCAGAAGACTGCATTTGTCTGCTTAACTTCTGATAAACACCCAACCAGAAGACTGCGTATGTCTACTTGCATAAGCTATAATAATGTACAGGAAATATATATATATATATAAATACGTGTTGATTTTCGTAATAAAACGAACTGTTGCCTGGCTCTTGTCTTCTGTTGTTACACACAGTCTTCTGATTGGTTGTTTTTCGCTGAAAGTTAACCTTGCATCTCTTTGTGACTGTTTCTTGAAGGTCAGATCATCTATCTGCTAATTGCATCCGCCCGCACAAACAAAGTCTGCTGTGATTGGTTGTTGAATCAGTCTTTGTTATTATTTTTCTCATGACCAATATTTGGGACCAAACATTGACGTAAATTACTGTCCACCAATTTTGGCTAGCAGCCAGCTCTCACCATGATATTACTTAATCTTTATTGTAATTTTTTTTGTGTAGGTCCCTTCATCATTCTAGTCCAGATTTAAGAAGTCTTGTATTGAATGAGTCTGTTCATGCTAAAGGGAATACAAATTCTAGTCGTCATCATCCTCATCATTATCGGGATGATGACCATCTCTCATCGGTGAAATTCAACTCGAAATCAAATAATTTAAGTCTAATAAAATATCTCGTTGATAATGAAGCAATCGATGATTCTGTTGAGGATGCTACACATCATCACCAACGTCATCATCATCATCATACGGATCATCAATGCGATTATGACGAGTGTGAAGAGACTGGATTCAACAGTACACATGATTATGCATTGTTAAAAAAGAAGGCATTACAACGTATGAATTCAGGATATATTAAAGAGGATGATAAATTAATTGAAGATTTATTATATAATAAAGAGGTTAGTCCTGTTTTCTCACCTAATAATTATCTAGTGAAGTGTATCAGGGCTAATTGCACACTAGGTTGTTACATAAGGTAGAATGTAAAAGCAATGGATTTGTTTGTGGATAAGGGCAGGAATAAAAGTATTTCTTTTTGTTTAATCATAGATTAAGATCAGGTAAAGAACTACTGAAAATCAAGGAATATTAAGGAGCTGCGTTTCGTCCTCGTTTGAGACTCCTCAGAAGTACACATCCACGACACTCGCCCCAGGGATAGAAACTACTGTCTCCAGGTTACAAGGTGACTGTGTTGACAGATGAGCTATTGGACCGGAACCCAATGGACCATAACTTTTAACTCCTACCTTCTACCCTGGAGATCCTGTGTACTGAAGAGTCCCAAACTAGGACGAAACAGCTGTCCGTTTAATATGATATTTTCATTGATTGTCAACATACGGCAAGTGGCATGGGATATTTACACATTTCAGTTGATGAGGTGCTCACTAGCTACTTGCCGTATTCAGGTTAGTAGTTACCTGGGTTTCCAGTGGGACGTCGTGACCAGAAGGGTGCAGCAGGTCAGGTGTGAGGACAAGTACTCGCCGAAGACATTGGATAGGGGTCGTGCTATGTCGTGAACTGGCAGAAATTAGAATTCATGGGCCAATGGATCGGGTTCCAGTGGCTTAATTGTATACGAGCTCGCGTTGTAACCGGAAGGTCCTGGGTTCGAACCTTGGCGGTGGGTGCGTACTGCTGAAGACTCCCAAACCAGGCTGACGAAACAGTTGTCCAGTAATCCTAGGTTTTCCGATGGTTCTCTAACTAGTGTCAGCTCATGATAAAATCCTGTAACCAATCAAATCCTTACAAACGAACACATAAAATTATTCAACCGGTAACAGGGTATGCATAAATGGTAATTTCAAGAAGAAGATCACTGTTGTAGTATATCACAGTTAGGCATTTGAAGAGATTGTTGTTGAATTGACATCTCTGTAGGAAATACCAACCACTCACTGGGGTTGTATGTGTTCATCTTGGTTATCAATTCCAAGTGAGATAAAACACCAGTCCTGGATTCTACAGCTAACCACCATTTACTAATCGATATCATTTATTATTACGCATTTTTGTTTCCGTTTTGTTTTTTATTAAATGCACGATATCAAGAATTCCACTGATGAAAATGAACAGATGAATGCAAGAAATCCACTAAAGCCTTCAAATAATATACAGTCAATGAAAGACAACTTGTTAAAAAGACAAAGTATGAAAGAACAATGTGATTCAAGTTAGTTTGCCTCTTTTACCTATCTCTTTCTCTCTCTCTCTCGACCTTTATTTTCAAATTTTGATTTTAATAATATCTGAAGTAGTGTTGGACTCCTCACCTCAGCTTCGCTGATGGCCTTCACCTTTGCTGCCTCCATCCCGAAGATCGCATGACTAGAGAGGTGTAGCAATGAGCTAACCAAAACTGTATTACCAAAAAAGGTATGCATGCGCTGGGGAGAGCGTAAAGTAACATCACACACACACCACCACCACCATGCTGGCCATCGAATGGGAAAGGAAGAGTTGGGCTTGGGTCCGACAATGAAATGGAGGAGATAGTGTGAGGTACAGATGACAGGCTGTGGGGAATCTCGGGGGACAGTTGAAGAGGACCGCAGAGAACAGGGTGAAATGGAGATGAGCTATGGAAGCTCTCATGTTCCCTTTGGAACCTAAACGGAATAATAATGAGGCTAATCTCCATGACATTGTTATTTGTTGTGATAAGATTTCGGTGTTCTCCACTGGTGCAGAATGATCTAAAACCTACTAAAATGAGACGTAGTGATGTAATGACAGAAGACAAGGGTCAGGCAACAGATGGTTTATGGAGAAAATCAACACATATTTGTAGATTTTTATGCGTATTATTATTAGCACTATTGTTAGCGGATAAACAACTCATTCTGATTGGTTGTTTTCTTGCTGAAGGTTATTCTGCTATCTCTTTGTGGTTGTTTCTCAGAAAATCAAGTCATATATCTGTGAATCATATTTCCACACTTTAACTCGGCTGTGATTGGCTGGTGAGCTCCTCAAGGTTAAGCGCTGTCGTTGTTTTTTCTTATGACCGCGATCCGAGACGTAACATTGACGTAAACTGTTGTCTACTATTCCGGCCAGCAGACAGCTCTCACCACAGTATTTATTGTCGAAGTTAATGGTCCATTACAGCAATGTAATACTGTAACGACAAAAGGCAAGAGTACATTATTATAGCTTATTCAAGCAGACAAACACCCTCTTCTGATAAGTTGTTTTTTACAGAAAAGTTGACCTTTCATCTCTTTGTGACAGTTTCTCGATTGTCAGGTCATCTATATGTTAACTGTATCTGTCTACGCCAAGTCTGCTGTGATTGGTTGTTGAATCAGTCTTGTTAACATTTTCTCACCACCAATATTTGCAACATACCCATTGACGTAAAATACTGTTTATCATTTTTGGCTAGCCTGCACTCCCCACAATACCACAGAGTGTGTTTAGAGAGTGCCATGTGTTAATGTTATCAATGCCTACGTATCGGCAGGAAGTAAGAGAACTGGTAACGGAATTTTTATTACAGAAAAACGTAATATTTTTACATTTTTGACGACAATAAAAGTCGGTTAGCTCAGTGGACAATAAACCGTTCTGATTGGCTGGCAATTGTTTGAAGGTTGAATAGTGAGACGATGAGTTGTCCAATGAGATAATTTCATGCCCACAATGTAAACTAAATCGAGATTTGAGGAATAAACACTTTACCTCTGATGTGGTTGACTTAAAATGTTGATTTCAGTTTTGACCGCTTCTTGTCAATCTCCATCTATATACTACTTATAAGTCTTATTAGTAGCACACGGCACACCTATATGCGTCCTAATAAATGAGGATTTTACTGAATGTGTACATTGGTAACTGGTTTCTTTCTGTTTGCATGTTTTATAGTGTCATATCACCTTTTTGAGGGATTGCATACAAAAAAAATATTTTTTTCTTAAATAAAAAAAAAAAAAAATAAAAAAAAAAAAAAAAAAAAAAATTAATGGGGGAATTTTTTTTTTTATTTTTAACACATAGTTTGAAAATTAAAAATTTTTTTGCAATAAAATTTATGAGGTTTTAATAAATATTTATTTACTTTGAAATTTTTTTATGAATTTTTTTCCTATAGGTTCCCGGATTAAATTAAGCCAAAATTTCTTTGAAGGAGGAATTGAGGAGAAAAAAAGATGGAATGGTTTGGCATTTGTAAATGGCCCATGGATATAAAAGTTTTTGTAAATTTTTTAATGGTTCTCCGAATATATTTTTGAACATGTTAAAAAATGTATATTACCATCATTGTCTCCATATTTTTTGCCCTGAAAAAACATTCCCGGAAGTTTAGTAGGAGAAAACTGGTAAAATGAAGATATTGTCCACTCCATGTCTGTTTACGAAAAATAGAGCGCTGAATCGTTCCATCATTTCTTCTAGTCATAGTAATATCCAGGAAACCGAGTTTGTTATTGGATTCTAGTTCAGAGGTCACTCGAATATTTGGATGGATATGGTTAAATAGAGTGATAAAGTTTTCAGTAGATTTGCTATTATTACTAATAATAAGAGTATCATCTACATAACGTTTGTACAGCATAAATTCTCCAAGCATACCTTGCATTTGTTCCTCTAATTTCGACATAAATATATCTGCTAACAGGGGCCCCAGAGGGCTTCCCATCGCAACACCATCGATTTGTTTGTATTCTTTTCCTTGGAATGTGAATCTAATATTTTCTGTACACATTAAGATGATGTCCTTGATGTACGTTACAGGAATAGGTAAGTTTATCCCGTTGCTTGTGATGTAGTCGCAGATGAAATCAACAGTTTCTTGAAGGGGAACATTGGTGAATAAAGATTCTATGTCGATTGAACACATAACCTTTTCATTAATGTTCAAGGTGTCTAGCATTTCTGTAAGATCAAATGAACTTTTTATAGAATGATTTGATAATGAGTCTCTTACAGGCGTAAGGACCTCTGTAATCCATTTGGCGTACAGTTAGTTATAATATTATTTTGATTCTCATCTAATATTCAATTGCATTGCCTTACTTGTTATCATTTAGATTCACCGAGAACTGGTTGTTCTTTAAAGGGAGTTAAATTACACTTCAAGTGTTTACGATTATACAAAGCGTATGCAGAAAATCTAATATCCAGCATAAAATCATCACCAAAGCCGCTGAATCAGTCTAAACTACCGCCAACATCGCAACCACGTGTTGGTGGCGGTGGTAGAACATCAAGGAATCCAACAAAACAATTACAAAAATCACGTCCAACCTCAATATCCCCGACATTACCGTTCATTAAAACAAAATCCAGTGAAATGAAGTCAGTTAACAGTAATGAAAGTTTTATTATTATTTTTGTTTTTAAAGTATGTCTTACGTTTGTAAACTGTTACACTGTACCACAAGTCTATCCTCTTATTTCACATAAATGCGTTTGTGGTTTAAAGGTATAATACTTACCAAAATACCCACGTGATCCGAGTTCAGCTCTTAGCCTAAACAAGTCCTCAACCTCACCTAGCCGCTAGCAAACCTTGGTAAGGAGGGGAGATCGTACGTTGAGCGGGTAGCAACTCCACACCCTGTTAAATACAACATGATTACGGCCAAAACATCAGAGGTCAAGCTCGGAACTCTTTGTCCCACTTGTAAAATAAACAATATAAATGTTCCTTACACATGTGTGCATTAGCCTTGTGACTTGTAGCTAGGGTTCCTTTGCTGTAACCTGTAATCTATAAAGCGTTAAGAATAGCACATACGGTCTCAATTTTGTTCTACAAAAAAATGTAGATTTGAATTGTGTGTCTTAGAGTTCTCCCGGAAGAGTTTCAATGGAATAGAGGCTACTCTATGTACTTTTAAATATATATGGTTAAAAAATCCTACCTTATCTTGATTCACACCAGTGCAATTAATGACAGCACTACTCACGATATTGTTTCACGAGTTGGGCCTGGATCCGACGGTGATATGGAGGAGATCGTGGAAGAAGGAGATGACAGCTGAAAATATGATGAAATGAAGATGTCCTGTTGAAATCCCATGTTCCACTTGGAACCCAAGGAAATGAAAATAATCAATCAAGCAGCTGAATGAAGTCCAGCAATTGGAATGCATGCATGAACACACAACCACACAATAGGGTGGGTGGGAGAGGGTTCAAATTCTAAAAAGTAATCTATGTAGGTGGAGAGAGAGGTTGATTACTGAATCCTCGTTTATCAAGTCTGCACCTAACACATGCAATAGGAATGACTCATCACTCATACTCGAAATATGGGAAATACTACTAATAATCAATTTAAGCGATGAAAAATAATGGAATTATATAAACGAAGTTGGAAATTTGTGTGAGTACCTTGATATGATTGTGAGTAGCAATAAATTGTGCTCGACACGTTATCAGTAAATACCACTATGAGACGTGATCAAAATAAATTTCACCCACAATGGAAGTGATAGCGAATCACTTAGCATTTAGGCCATATTGGAAAATTTTTTTAGTGGTTAGAATTCCCTCTGCATCGAATAAAGGACTAGAGGTGCATGACAGTAGTAGTGGTTGCATAAGCTACCTTGTGTCCAATCAAAATACCCTATATAGGTGTTGTTTTTGTGGACACATGTATAATGATCCTTATTCTATAAAAAGAAATTATCAAAAGCTGACTGAATGTAATAATCTCCTAAGTTATGTTTAATTTCTTTTGTTTTGGTAACAATCGAGTTCATTGTTTCAATTGGAAATCTAAACTGTGTTCCACACAATACTGATAGTTATATATTTTCTACAGAACCAAATAGTAGATAACGGTTTGAACACTATTCACTGTATAATAATGCTTAGTAATGCTTCTCTCCTTTTATCTATTTTAATCCATTCATAAATAGTATCTCACCAAATAGTATATATATGGAATTAGAAATATCTGTCCCAGCTTTGCATCCATCCTCATTGTCGTCATCCTCATCATCATCAGTACTTCCAGCATGTGGTGTTATTCGTAATGCTAGTAGTAGTTTTACAACTGGAACATGGACTACAACCAGTTTTACATTGATATCAGAGTTATCTAATCACCGGCAATCTGATATAATGTCAAGCAAAGAAGGCGATTCATTTGTAAATTTCTTTTGTTCAACGAGCAGTAGTCACAACAACACCAATAATCCTTACATATTTGTCAATTTGGACAACACCAACATCAATTCTAATCATGATACTGGTAATCAGGATAATCATATTCGAATAAGATTGTTTTATTTGTCTAATCCAATAATGGAGAGCGATGATATAACCCAATGGGAATCAGAGGTAACTTTGAATTAAAAAGTTGTTTTTTTTGGTTTCGTTTTGTTTTGTTTCACTTATAAATTGTTTCAATAAAGCAAAAATAACGGTTTATTGAGAATAAGATAGGGCTGTAATGGTAGAAAATGAGAGACATGTTAAAGAATGGATTTTTGATTGGTTGGTCACAGGATTTCATCATGAGCTGCTGACATCAGTTATATATCCATGGGAAAACCCACCAGGAGTACTGGACAGTCTTTTTGTCAGCCTAGTTTTGAACCCCGTACCTTCTGGTTACAAAGGCCTGCAGGTAGATCATGAAGCCAATGGCACCCGATCGAATGGCCAGCCCATGAATTCCAGTAACTTAATGGTCTACGGAGATAGCTCCTGGGTTCGAACCCTAATGAGGTGGTGCATACTGATGAGGAGTCCCAGACTAGGCTGATGAGGCAGTTGTACAGGACTCCCATATTTTAATGACTCACTGTGTTAATTAATGGCTGGTGCAGATGCATCCATTCGTTTGGAACTTATAATTCCCAACGAAACTATATTGTTCCTTTTGTCTCATATCCCTGTTTACTGTCTCTTTTTTGCATTTCTTCTACTTTCTTCTCTGACTTTGTCTTAAGTGAAGTGTGGCAACTCGAACTGCTGCACATTGGTGCAAAGTTCTATGTAAAAATCACAGAGGCTGTACAACGGAGACATTCAGTTCAACAGACTAAATCCCTAATGTATACACGCATTGACCTCAGCTTAGTTACACGATTTTGACTACATCTCTTAAGGTTATACCAACGTATTGATTAAACTAGGAAACTTTATTTACGCACAGAATCAAGTTCAAGTAAAATTAAGATTGACGGGAATTGTTTTATGATAAATTCTCTCACTTCATCAGTGAAAGAGAAAAGTTCAAATCACATGAAAGGAATAAGTTTTTTTTCTCAAGGTTACACAGATACGACTTTCTGATCAGTTAGAATAAGCAAAAGCCAAGTTTCGTTTGTTGACTTATCTCCTATATACAAGTTTATAAAAATGGAAAGTAAACATGATCTCCTACACAGATCTTCACATACCTTCAAGAGAATAGGTGTATTACAGCAGCGAATGCGATCAAGGAAGTACACATCATTTGAATTGGACTGATTAATGACTGTAGAACAAAAGCATTGAGTAGACAACTTCTTCATACTGTCATCATCACATATTTATCGTACTGATCCATGAATCTAAGAGAATTAATTTTATTTCAATTCCAAGTTTGATCACGGATCGATATCAGTCAGAGTGTTAATTCCTTTCCTACTTGTTCATTCTCAATCTTTCCTTTGTTCAACATTAGACTACTTGCCATTAGTAAGTAGTATGATTTTAATATGTTAATTTATAACGATGACATTTGCTTACAACTGCAGTTAAATTACTTGTTCTATTATCATTCTATTAATGTATAGTTCTTATTTTTCTTCTCCTTAAACATTATTTGCTGCATTTACCCTATAGTGTATGCTTTACTATTGAAAGTTGTTTGTTCATATTTGTTTATTCTCTGCTTGGCATTCGCGGGCCGTTTGAACCGACACGGGGATCGACCTTGACACAGCATTGCTGTTTTTACTTATTGACTGCACAGTGGTTGTGCATTTGACGGCATTTAGCCACAGACACCTCACATTTTGAGGTTTGTATATTATATATCTATTTTTATGTAATAAAGTACCGTATTGCAGAATATCCTGTATTTTGGACTTTACGCGTCACTCTACGTGTGGTTAAATCTATAGTTTGGATTATCGTTTCGGATTTCTTTCGGGAGAAATTCACAGTACTCAAAATTGGTCTTGTTGATCTATTTGGACGATTATCAATGCCGGTTACTCGTAACATGTCTGGAAAACAAAAATGCGCTGAAGAATATCTTCGAGTCAATTTATCTTCACCGCAAGTTTCTTCTTTACCTGTTTCCTTATCTGTTTCTGATAATTTTAAACACACCCCTCATGTCAGCCCAGGTTTTGATAATATTGCTATGAGAGGTAGTGTAGTAGTAGACTCCGATGTTGATTCGGATGTGGCTACCGAATTAGAGATCCTAGAGCTTAAGGTTCAAGAGCTTAGACTTCGCAGCAAACAACGAAAATTGAAGAGCGAGCGCCCTCAACAAGTCAACACTGCAGCCAGCTGCGTCCGATCTTGCGCCAATCCCTCGGGAAGCCAACCCCTAGACGGTAGCACCATGTATTGTACAGCACAACCATCAGGGTCAAATTGTACTGCTACTCCAGTCCAACCACTCCTGAACTCATTTAGCCCCATTAGAATGCCTCAAATTGAGATGGATAAGTTCGATGGTACACCGACTAAGTTCTTGAAGTTTATAAGATGCTTTAACATGTTAATAGGAGAACAAACTAATGATGACAACCTACGGTTAATGCATCTTATACACAATTGTGTTGGTATAGCCAAGGAGGCCATAGAGCATTGCATTCTACTGCCCTCTGAGGTAGGCTATAGGAAAGCCATGGGGATTTTACGAAGTCAATTTGGCCAACCTCATGCAGTTTCAGATGCCTTCCTCTCCGAATTACTGTCAGGCCCACAGCTGCAACCTGAAGATATAGTTGGGCTACAACGGTTGTTGAGACAGATGACCAATTGTGAGATAGCCTTATCTCAGATGAATCACATGGCAGACTTGGACTGCTCTACCAACCTTAAGTGCATTGTTCAACGTCTCCCTCGGCACCTACGATGGAAGTGGGCAGAATTGGTAAACGATGGTTTACAGTTTGCTGAACCTAGCTTTCGTTACCTCAAAGAATTCCTCGAAAGGCAACTGTCCTTGGCTACAAGCTGTTACGGCCAGATAGCTAATGGGAATAGGAACAACAACGAAGTAGGGGCCAACGATAAAATGTCCAGAGCTATGCCTTCGCACAGTGTTAATGTCGTGAAGTCACGAGCCCAGAAGTCGTGCATAGTTTGCTTCACAGATCACGACTTATGGGACTGTCAACGCCTTTTGTCGATGAGTCACAAAGAGAGACTAGCAGTGTCAATGCGGCATAAGGTGTGCTTCAACTGTTTGAAACGTAATCACCGAGCTGACACTTGTCGTGCAGCAAGAGGTTGCGATATAGTAGGATGCACTAGACGTCATCATAAACTTCTACACAATGAAGATAATTCAGCATGCAAGACTGTCAACTACTCTAGCACGGAATCCGGAACTTCCTTTTTAATATTCATGCAAAATGACTTTAAGCGTTTTGACATATCATACGAGTCAAACACCATAAAAATCATCATAAGCATTCGTCCGTGTACTTTCGGCCTTAAGTTTGTTCTCCTTCTTCTGGTTGACGGTGATCTGCAAACAAGTGGAAAAATTTGAGAAATGCCAAAGGGGAAAGTTGTCGTTTCTTTATTGTTTCCTTCAGCCTGTCACGACTGTTGTCGAGCATACGTGGATCGACCTTGACAGCTTTGAAGGAGTCTTAGGTCTCTTTACAGGTAAGCTTTCCACGGTGTAGGCACTCTTGACCCTCGTCTTGTAATCTCCCGTTAAGGATTCAACTTCGAAATCAACCTTAGATGAATTCTGAGAAGTAGTTCCACAGAAAGATGTTACCTGCATCAATGTATTAACCCCTTCCAGTCCTATTTGGCGAGCAACATGACTCAGCAGTAGTGTAGCATCTGAACCATTGTCAAGAAAGGCATAGGTATCTAGAAATCCTTTAGGACCTAAGATACGAATCGGCACATATCCTAAAAAGGAAGTTCCGGATTCCGTGCTAGAGTAGTTGACAGTCTTGCATGCTGAATTATCTTCATTGTGTAGAAGTTTATGATGACGTCTAGTGCATCCTACTATATCGCAACCTCTTGCTGCACGACAAGTGTCAGCTCGGTGATTACGTTTCAAACAGTTGAAGCACACCTTATGCCGCATTGACACTGCTAGTCTCTCTTTGTGACTCATCGACAAAAAGCGTTGACAGTCCCATAAGTCGTGATCTGTGAAGCAAACTATGCACGACTTCTGGGCTCGTGACTTCACGACATTAACACTGTGCGAAGGCATAGCTCTGGACATTTTATCGTTGGACCCTACTTCGTTGTTGTTCCTATTCCCATTAGCTATCTGGCCGTAACAGCTTGTAGCCAAGGACAGTTGCCTTTCGAGGAATTCTTTGAGGTAACGAAAGCTAGGTTCAGCAAACTGTAAACCATCGTTTACCAATTCTGCCCACTTCCATCGTAGGTGCCGAGGGAGACGTTGAACAATGCACTTAAGGTTGGTAGAGCAGTCCAAGTCTGCCATGTGATTCATCTGAGATAAGGCTATCTCACAATTGGTCATCTGTCTCAACAACCGTTGTAGCCCAACTATATCTTCAGGTTGCAGCTGTGGGCCTGACAGTAATTCGGAGAGGAAGGCATCTGAAACTGCATGAGGTTGGCCAAATTGACTTCGTAAAATCCCCATGGCTTTCCTATAGCCTACCTCAGAGGGCAGTAGAATGCAATGCTCTATGGCCTCCTTGGCTATACCAACACAATTGTGTATAAGATGCATTAACCGTAGGTTGTCATCATTAGTTTGTTCTCCTATGAACATGTTAAAGCATCTTATAAACTTCAAGAACTTAGTCGGTGTACCATCGAACTTATCCATCTCAATTTGAGGCATTCTAATGGGGCTAAATGAGTTCAGGAGTGGTTGGACTGGAGTAGCAGTACAATTTGACCCTGATGGTTGTGCTGTACAATACATGGTGCTACCGTCTAGGAGTTGGCTTTCCGAGGGATTGGCGCAAGATCGAACGCAGCTGGCTGCAGTCTTGACTTGTTGAGAGCGCTCGCTCTTCAATTTTCGTTGTTTGCTGCGAAGTCTAAGCTCTTGAACCTTAAGCTCTAGGATCTCTAATTCGGTAGCCACATCCGAATCAACATCGGAGTCTACTACTACACTACCTCTCATAGCAATATTATCAAAACCTGGGCTGACATGAGGGGTGTGTTTAAAATTATCAGAAACAGATAAGGAAACAGGTAAAGAAGAAACTTGCGGTGAAGATAAATTGACTCGAAGATATTCTTCAGCGTTTTCCAGTTTTCCAGACATATTACGAGTAACCGGCATTGATAATCGTCCAAATAGATCAACAAGACCAATTTTGAGTACTGTGAATTTCTCCCGAAAGAAATCCGAAACGATAATCCAAACTATAGATTTAACCACACGTAGAGTGACGCGTAAAGTCCAAAATACAGGATATTCTGCAATACGGTACTTTATTACATAAAAATAGATATATAATATACAAACCTCAAAATGTGAGGTGTCTGTGGCTAAATGCCGTCAAATGCACAACCACTGTGCAGTCAATAAGTAAAAACAGCAATGCTGTGTCAAGGTCGATCCACGTGTCGGTTCAAACGGCCCGCGAATGCCAAGCAAAGAATAAACAAATATGAACAAACAACTTTCAATAGTAAAGCATACACTATAGGGTAAATGCAGCAAATAATGTTTAAGGAGAAGAAAAATAAGAACTATACATTAATAGAATGATAATAGAACAAGTAATTTAACTGCAGTTGTAAGCAAATGTCATCGTTATAAATTAACATATTAAAATCATACTACTTACTAATGGCAAGTAGTCTAATGTTGAACAAAGGAAAGATTGAGAATGAACAAGTAGGAAAGGAATTAACACTCTGACTGATATCGATCCGTGATCAAACTTGGAATTGAAATAAAATTAATTCTCTTAGATTCATGGATCAGTACGATAAATATGTGATGATGACAGTATGAAGAAGTTGTCTACTCAATGCTTTTGTTCTACAGTCATTAATCAGTCCAATTCAAATGATGTGTACTTCCTTGATCGCATTCGCTGCTGTAATACACCTATTCTCTTGAAGGTATGTGAAGATCTGTGTAGGAGATCATGTTTACTTTCCATTTTTATAAACTTGTATATAGGAGATAAGTCAACAAACGAAACTTGGCTTTTGCTTATTCTAACTGATCAGAAAGTCGTATCTGTGTAACCTTGAGAAAAAAAACTTATTCCTTTCATGTGATTTGAACTTTTCTCTTTCACTGATGAAGTGAGAGAATTTATCATAAAAACAATTCCCGTCAATCTTAATTTTACTTGAACTTGATTCTGTGCGTAAATAAAGTTTTCCTAGTTTAATCAATACGTTGGTATAACCTTAAGAGATGTAGTCAAAATCGTGTAACTAAGCTGAGGTCAATGCGTGTATACATTAGGGATTTAGTCTGTTGAACTGAATGTCTCCGTTGTACAGCCTCTGTGATTTTTACACATAGAACTTTGCACCAATGTGCAGCAGTTCGAGTTGCCACACTTCACTTAAGACAAAGTCAGAGAAGAAAGTAGAAGAAATGCAAAAAAGAGACAGTAAACAGGGATATGAGACAAAAGGAACAATATAGTTTCGTTGGGAATTATAAGTTCCAAACGAATGGATGCATCTGCACCAGCCATTGAAAATCAATTCTGAGCAATATCACCGATTTTCTCCACCTATTGGTGTTTACCATCTCGAGAACCCCAACCAGGAAGTCTACATCTTCCTACGCGACTGAAACTAACTGTTGTAGTTTTCATTGACTGGTGAAGCCATGTTTTGGTTTGATAACCATTGACTCTTTTCCAACCTGATCCCATGTTAGTTAATATTTCCTGTCGAGGAAGACAATGGGTCGGCATCCGTAGCACACATCCTAATAAACTGAATCGATATAGCTTCACATCCTCATCAGTTGATTTCCCCTCCTTACCTAGCAATCAACAACCTTGAGAAAATAAACTCATTACTCTCATGTGATCTGAACTTATTTCATTCATTGATGAGGGGGGAGAATTTATCATTAAAGGCATTCCAGTCAATACTGATTTTACTTGAACTTGATTCTGTGCGTAAATAGGTTGTCGTTGTTTAATCAATACGTTTGTATAACCCTATAGGCTGTAGTCAAAATTATGTCACTAAGCTGAGGTCAATACGTGTATACATTAAGGACTTAGTCTCTTGAACCGAATGTCTTTGTAGTAAAGCCTCTGTGAGTTTACTGTTATTATTATTATTGCTCCCTTGGGTTCCTAGTGGAACATAGGGCTTCAACTGCACGTCTCCACTTGCCACTTCTGTCTTCTGCTGTACTTTTCACCTGCATCCATGTTAGTGCATACATACCGTTTCAACTCCTCTTCACACGATCTCCTCCATGTCACCCTTGCACTGACGACCCACTCACCGCTTCCCTTTCAGGTTCCACTCGAGAAATGGCCTAACGCGCGATGTCACCTAGCGGCCTCCTCAGCGAGTGAGTGTCCAATCCATCTTCACTTTCTCCTGCATATTTGTTGTTGGGCGGTTGATTCTTGTTTTGTTTCTTCCCATAGTTTCTTCTTGTTGGTGATTCTTTCCGGCCCGGCCCGGCCATCTGATCTTCAGTATAGAGTGAAGACAGTTGTTGATAAAGGTCTGCAACAGGCTGTTGGAAATATTGTTTGTGACCCGCTCCCCAAGTTCCTGATTTGTATAGAGGAAGTGACTGACAGCTAGCTGGCCTTTTTATGTCTTCCATTTTAAAGGCTATGTGTTTCTCACAGCCATAAAGGAGGACGGAGCGAACTGCTGAAAAGTACACATGTATTTTGGTCGATAGCTGAATATCACATCTACGTCAGAGATGGCATATGCGGAACTAGCCTTCTGTGTCCATGCTGAGATTTCGTCAGCGATTTACCCACTGTCGTTGGCTGATGCAACTTCTCAAATAAGTGGAGTGGTCAACGTGCTCTACCACTCCACTCCCTATTTCTAAACTAGGAGTCAATATAGTCCAGTCCTGTAACATCATCTTACATTTGGTGGGGGGCAAATCTCATGCCAAACATTCGAAGATTGCTGCAGCTCAAGGTGTTCAGAAGACTCTGCATTTTGTCAGCGTCTTCACCTAGAAGGACTATAACATCTGCAAATTCTAAGTCAACGAAATTATTCCCTGGTAGCAAGTCAATCCTTGAGTCTCTGAAGTGAGTTATGGTTAGGTCCAGTTTGAAACACGAAGGGAATATCACCTTTCTGTAGGTTTCAAATACGCCTTGCTGATAAAGTTACTAGTTTGTGGTACTGTAAAATGACTCCTACTAGCATATATTATTAAATCAAAATAAATTATAGTGCAAAACATTGTTGTGTCGTATTAGTGGCCGAATTTCATACATGAGTTTCTGCAGTATATATATATATATATATATTTTAACCTGACAATATTTCGACTCCTGCCTATTCTTAATTTTCTTATATCGTATTTTCAATTGATTAAACCGTAGTACACATTTTGTTCATTTGTTAACTGACAGATGATTGGTGTAAATTTTGTCAATCCAGACGAAATACGTTCAATTATCTTATCGAAAAATCATTTAAATTCAACTAATCCAACTACCCGCCTATTTATTCATCTATGCTCTGGTCAGAAGACAAAAACAGATAGTCCAAATGTGATCGGTCGGCTAGAATTTGAATTGGAACCGGTATGGCACACTACACCTATCAACCAATCAAAAGTCAATCATATGTTAAAAGGTAAATAAGTGAAATTTATTACCAGTAATTATGTAGTAGTAGTGTGTCGTGCACTACTGACATGATTTCTCAGTAGTATATAGACTCGGATTGAAAACAACATTTAAAGTCAGTGGCTAGAGCAGAAGTAGGAGTGTTTATTCCCTAAATCTGGATTTAGCTTACGTTGTGGTCAAGGAGTAATCTCATTGGTCAGTTGTTCGTCTCAAGGTTTAGCCTTAAGAAAATCAACAACTAATCAGAACAGTTTATTGTCCATTGACGTGACTGAAATTGTGTAAATATGGGTTTTTTCCGTAATAAAAAGGCCGTGACCAATTCTCTTATCTCCTTCCGTCATAGTAAAAAGTATTTTCATACGAACTGTGATCAAGATTTGACCGGATAGTTGCAAAATAATTGAGCGCTGAGTGAGAAGTAGACATTTATAAAGTTATATTTGTAAAATCTCAGCGAAATTGAAATGATTAATTCCAACGTTTCGTTCGGCAATCTGGTCCGAACTTCTTTAGGGAAATTAATCGAAATTAACATAACGAAGTTTACATATAAAGGGACACCTCTTGTTTTTTAAAGTTTTGTCCAATCATGAGTCATGCAACAGTTATCAATATGTATAATAAATAAATAAATAAATAGATTTGTATGTTTATATAAAAGTACATCTCTTATTTTTAAATATGAATCAATAGGTATACTAAACAAAACAAAATAAAAATTGTATGAACTATGATCAAAAACTTTTTTGACCTCAGACTTTCAAAATTTATCTACTTTTATTGCATGGAGGATTTCATCATGAGCTGACATCAGTTAGAGAACCATTGGAAAACCTGGGAATACTGGACAGCTGTTTCGTCCTAGTTTGGGACTCTTCAGCAGTAGGCACCCACAGGGGTTCGAACCCAGGACCTTTTGTTAAAATATATGTGTATATGCAGTATATGCAGGATACAATGGTGTGTGTATGTGTGTGTGTGTGTGGGTGGAACAGTCATAAAACATTTGCTATTCTCATATGAGCTCTGATCAAGATTTGACCGGATAGTTACAAAATAGTTGACATTTTTATAAATATAATTTAATTTTTATAGATTTGTTATTCTCTCCATAAGAAGACGCAGACAATCGGGAATTTGACTACTTGTTTATATATATTAAATTTTATTTCATTTATCAGTCAGGATTTGCCATGCATCAGCTAACATCACACCTTCACGTCTGTTTAAACTGCTGGGATTCACCCATATATGTAGGGCTTCTGCAGTCAGTCTTTCTTGATATGAACCAAAACCTTTTTGTAAAACCTTAGTCTTATCAAAGTCGATTTTGTGTCCCGTTTCTATTGAATGTAGCGCAATCGCTGAGTTGTTTTCTAGCTTCTTCAAGTCTGAAGAGCTCTTTGGAACCACCTTTAGACATTGTTTATGCTCTTTCATTCTTATATTTACCTGTCTAGAAGTTTCTCCTACATATACTGCGTTACAATCCTCACAATTGATCTGGTATACGCAATTCTGCTGGTTTTCTTGTTCTATTTTATCCTTAACCTTCACCAGTAATGAGCGTAAGGTGTTAGATGCACGAAAGTACACTCTGATGTTAGGTTCGGACCAGATTGCCGAATGAAACGTTGGAATTAATCATTTCAATTTCGCTGAGATTTTACAAATATAACTTTATAAAAAGTATTTTATTGGAAAGTGTATATAAATATCCCACTATAAATAGCAATGAAAGCGGTTGTGTTTGTTGAAGTGTTCTATATCCGTTTTCAAGGATTATTCATATTATTACAGCCGTAATATATCTTTGCTACGGCGTTATTCAGTTCAGTGCAAACAAACTCAAGTTCTAGGACAATGCCAGTATTGTATATCTTGTAATATCAATTTCCAACGGAGCGAGTCCAGTTACTTGGTACGAACAGCAACAGAAACAGTATAAGGCAAGCCTTCCAACTAAAAATGATCAACTTGCTGCTCACTAATCATTTAGATTTCCAGACACCTAGTCTTCCCCATACTAAGATTATTTATTCTGTTATCTTGTGAACCACAGAAGTACTAGAGAATTTATTAGTTTAGTCATTATGGGCGCAGTTAAGTTTCACTGAAAAAATAGAAATTGATGCTAAGAATCAAATTGAGAATCTGGTGCATTGAAATTTACTGATGAAGATATTCTTTGTGCGAAACCAAGAAATCTGATCAGTCCAAGTGGCGAGATTCTCACTCCAGTTTCTTCTATCTCACAGGAAAAGAAAGAGTACTCTCCAGTTTCCACTACGTTGTCATATTGTTAAAAAAAATGCTTATGAAGACATTTTAGAATTAGTCGGTGAAATCTCTTGTGATGTTAAATTCCTTTCAAAGAATTTTAAAGGTTCATGCTTTCTTCTTGTTCATCACGATTGGGATCTATCAGGCATTGATTGGACTAATAAACTATCCTTTTTGAAAATAATTCCTTGGTGATATTAATCTTAATGAAATGATACAAATTCCTGGTGAAATTTTCGGAGAACATGAACCACAAATCAATACCTGCTATAAAGGTTTAAATCTGTCCAAAGAACTTTTGTTGGTAAAGTTAACCGTATGCCAAGCACACTACTTCTGAGGGGAAAGGTGCCATAGACAGGCAGTACACAGACTTCCGAAGTACTTTCAGATGTACCTGATATGTATCCACATATATATATTTATGTGTGTGTGCATGTTGGTCTCTCTTTCTGTTTGCTCGGTTAGTCTGTGACCACTTCACTTGTATGGACTTGTCTCCTTTAATAATGTGTATTCTCCTTATATTATATTATATATAATATGAGTGTTTGTTGACAGTCCGTTGCTTGGTGACATATATCCATATATGTTTGTTGGCATGTCTGCTATATTCGCTATGTATAATTGGATCGACACTCCATTATAATTAGCCATTCATGTTAAGACTGTCTAATGATTTTTCCCACGCTTGTCTGAATTATTTATATATATTCGCATTCACAATTTGTGTGAACTACTTTACTTTACAACTACTTGACTTACTTACCACTTTGGTGTGAGACCATTTATTTTCGTCTCCTTGTGTTTGGACAATAGAAGTATCATCGCAAACCTAGTGGTCTTCTGATTTCCGCCTTCTCGCGTCAGGACTATTAGTTTCTCGACCAGTCCATAACAATAATTCAGCGACGAGTACATAACAATTTGGCGACGGGGAAACTAGAACATAACAATTTGGCGACGGGGAAAACTAGTACATAACAATTTGGCGACGGGGAAAACTACTATTAACCACACAGCAGCAGCAACATAACAATTTACTATGGATTATTAAATTGGAATTATTGTTTGAACAACAATGAAATTAATGGAAATGTTCGTCAACCAACAGACTGGTCCAGCTCACCTTCAAGCAATCCCAATCATACCATGCTACCATCTGTCGACGGAATTGTGAACAGTATTTCACAGTTCAATTATGACCCAGAGGCTAATGTCACTTTTGACACATGGTATCAACGTTATGAGGATTTATTCACTGTTGATCTCGCCTCACAAGACGATGCCTGGAAGGTGCGAGTTTTGCTACGTAAATTGGGTCCGGCAGAATATGAACGGTACTGCAACCTAATTTTACCACAGAAACCACGTGACAATTGTTTCGATGATACAATAAAGTTGCTGCGTGAACATTTCGGAGACCACTCCTCATTATTCAGTATACGTTATCGTTGCCTCAAGCTGGCAATGAATGAAAATGATGATTTTCTTACTCACGTTGGCACAGTCAACCGAGAATGTGAGAGATTTCGACTCAGGTCCTTAACAGATGATCAGTTCAAAGCCTTGATTCTCATATGCAGTCTCCAATCTCCTCGTTTCACAGATATCCGAACTCGACTGCTCAATCAGCTAGAACAAAATCCCAAGTTAACATTACATGACATAGCTGATGAATATCAACGGCTGATTAATCTGCAGAAAGACACACACTGGTCGAATCAACACCTCCGAGAAGCTCTGATATTCGTGCATTACGCAAGAGCAAAAATCTCTCATCATCACTCCTGACCCACCTTCTCTTAATGTCCCGCGGAAATCTACAGATACTCGTCCAACTTCACAAAATACTGCAAAGAAGACCCCTCCATCACCATGCTGGCATTGTGGCGCGTGGCACTTTGTAAAGTCTTGTCCATACAAAAATCATCGTTGCAGCAAGTGCAAGATCATCGGTCACAAAAATGGTTTTTGTCAGCCACGCAACCCAGATATCAAAATCCAGCAAAAGCTCAACAAAATGTTGGTCCTAAATCCCCAAAAAGTCATTGAGTCTACGCGCAACCCGTCAAGTCACAACACCAGCTATGCGGAAATATATTGACCTTCAGATGAATGGTCATGATACTCGTCTGCAGCTAGATACTGCCTCTGATATTACTGTTATATCAGAGAAACTTTGGAATTATATTGGCAGACCACCTATCACCAATACTTCCCAGTCTCTTCTCAGCGCCTGTGGTGGGCGGCTCAAACTAATTGGTGAACTCAAATGTTCTGTTTCCTTCCGCAATACCAAATTCACAGGAATTTGTTACGTCACGAAGAATGATTTAAATGTTTTGGGACTTGATTGGTTCGATCGTTTGCATCTGGCTGATGTCCCACTAAATTCTCTACGCAATACAGTGAAGAAGCATAAAATGCTAGACAATTCCGGACGGAGCCGAAGCCGCAAACCCAACAATCAGACGAAACGACAGGCGTCAACAACAAGCCCAAAGGTCCCAGATAAACCCCCAGGTAAACATCCTACTAATCATCCATCTTCTCAAAAGGGGAGGTGATATGTATCCACATATATATATTTATGTGTGTGTGCATGTTGGTCTCTCTTTCTGTTTGCTCGGTTAGTCTGTGACCACTTCACTTGTATGGACTTGTCTCCTTTAATAATGTGTATTCTCCTTATATTATATTATATATAATATGAGT